ACCAAGATTGTGCTATAATACAATCTTACTGAAAGGAGTCTCCGATGGCGAAACGAAAACGAAGAAACTTCACTCCCGAGTTTAAAGCGGAGGTCGTTCTTGAGGCCCTCCGCGGTGAAAGTTCACAAGCGGAATTGTGCCGCCGACATAACCTCAGCGAAGACCAGGTCTCAAAATGGAAGCAGCAGTTCCTTGAAAATGCGGTCTCTCTGTTTGCCTCCACGGATAAGCAATCCAGCGAGGCAGCCGAGCGGATCGCACACCTTGAGCACCTCGTTGGACGGTTGACCGTGGCGTTAGATATCCAAAAAAAAGCTTGACTTGGTTGAACTGATCCCGTCTGAACAACGCCAAATCGTTGAGGCGTTGCGGACAGATTATTCGGTGCGACAGATCTGTGAGACGCTGGGTTTCAACAAGAGCACCCTCTATTATCAACCGAAAATCGACGCGTCTGAAGAGGTCCTGCGAACTGAAATAGAGAAGTTAGCTGCAGCGTATCCGACGTATGGGTATCGGCGTATCACAAAGTTGCTACTGCGTATGGGATACACTGTCGGATATAGACGCGTTGCCCGTTTGATGAAATCTGCGAACCTCTCGGTGTCTGTCAAACGTATCTGTCAAACCACGAGGTCGCTCCGGGAGGTGGCTCCCTGGGTCAACCGACTTCAGACCGTTGAAGTCTCCCGATGCGATCACGTCTGGGTTGGCGATATCACTTATGTGCGACTCAAAGGACACTTCATCTATGTCGCAGTGGTCATGGATGTCTTCACGCGTATGATAAGAGCTTGGCATCTGAGTCAGCATTTGACGCAATCTTTGACCTTGAAACCCTTGGAAGAAGCATTACACCGAAGCGTGCCAGAGATCCATCATTCTGATCAAGGTGTTCAGTATCTTTCAAATGCTTACATCTCAACGCTCAAGCGTCATGACATTGAGATTTCTGTCGCCCGGAGAGGATGTCCTTGGGAGAACGGATACGCCGAAAGGTTGATCCGAACCCTCAAGGAAGAAGAAGTCCACCTCAACGCCTATGAGGACATCCATGAAGCGAGGAGCCCGCATTGGGCATTTTATCACACAGGTGTATAACCAGAAACGCCCGCACTCAGCGTTAGGGTATTGTGCACACCATGTGGAATTTGAACAACAAAACTTGTCTTAACTTTGCTAAATTTTGGTCTAAATAAACGATGGCACTTCAACTCGTCTATAAACTCTACCACCATTACCAAAACACCGTATTAGTGGCAGAGGCGTTATCCATATCTAATATGGTAAAGAACAAACACCTCAGCAAAAGCATCAGCGACGCTTCTTGGGCAACCTTCTTTAAGTGGTGTGCGGACATGGTTTCCGAAAGAGACGGTTTGCACTTCCACCAAGTGGATCCCAAGAACACTTCGCAAATCTGCTCTTGCTGCGGTCAGAAAGCACCGAAAAAGTTATCTTTATCGGTAAGAACCTTTAATTGCGGTTATTGTGGCAAAGCTATGGATAGAGACCACAATGCGGCACAAAACATACTTTTCAGGGCAGCTACTGCCCTTCGTGGAGAGCGGTGGGTTGCCACCCTCTGTGAAGCGAGAAACAAGAACGAAGCACGAGACGCAGGCTTGCAGGGAGCAACACAGCTAACGTTGTTTAACGCTCTTACAAGCCCAAGTCTTTAGGCTTGGGTAGTTGACGAGTGTATGTCTCTTTCTTGTAGGAGCGGCCTCCGGGTCGCGACACTCACTGATGGCTGATGGAAACCGACCACTGGCGACTGAAAACTGATGACTGAAAACCAAATACCTCTAAAACATAAACCGATACATCGGACGTTCTAAGGCGATGCCGATGAGTGTCCAAATTGCTCCGACAAAAAACTCTCCGATGACCAAACCGATAAAGAACGGCATCGCGCGGCGATAGGTCCGTAAACCGCCTGTCTGAAAGAGAATCGCTTTTATCCCCCACGACAAGAAGATTGAGAACCAATACCAACTTGTATTCCAGAAACTCAGCGAAAGTGCATAGCCTGCGGGGTGGAAGGGCCACCAGATGAATCGGCGGCGCAACACCATCAAAAGCGTTGTTAAGGCGATGGCACCAGTGGATGCCGAGGCCGCACCAACATCTATGGATTGCGGGTTAATGAGCCACTGCTTCAACTGCTCGTAAGTCCAACGACACTGTGCTTGCTCGCCATAGACTGCACCACCGTAGTAATAACCTTGCGCGTAGTACGCCCACGCCGATGAAATTGTTCCGACGATGATTACCAAAATAACGGCGACGATAAAGCGGTTATGCGATAGCCCGCGAACCTGTGCTACCTTGAAGCCTTCCAACATAATCGGCATCGGATGGGAACGATAGGAGCGGTTGAAGCCGTGAAACATACTGAACGTCGTTAACCCCTCCGCACCGATACGACGTGTACCCGAGAAAGGATACAAGCACTTTATCCGGTCGCCACGGCACGTCATGCGCTGGGGGGCCGACTTCTGCCCGGATGCGCGTGATGGCAATCGCTAACGCAAAGAAGAGCGTAAAGTAACCGAGGATGCTAAAGATCGGCGTGCCAGTGCTTTTGAAGAAGACAAGGATGAAGATGCTGCCGACTATCAAGCCGATGATCGCGTATCGGATATGTGCCGAAGGTGTCCCTGTTCTGTTAAGCTCAGCGTTACCACCTCGGAAGGCGTTTTTCACCTGTCGCCCGATGAATTTTCGGGTGAGCCATATTGCAGAGACACCTAAGCAGAACCATGCGCCAAAGGATTGCGCATCGAGAAATGGGAATCCCGGTAGATGTCCGATGCCTGCCATCGTTCCCCATACGCGCGTGATTTTATGGAAAAGATAGAAAAACCAGATAGAAAACGAAAGTTCCAGCGGTATAAAGAAACTCATCCCGATCGCAAAGGGATAGACCGCAATAGGCAGTCTACCGATAGCGTTCAGCGGTTTCGTCTGAAAGTGCTGTCCTAAATTATAGAGACTTCCGCCTAAACCCGGCACGACGGGGAACAGAAAGTGGAGTCCGTTAAGGAGGTTCATTCCACCTGCGAGTACTGCCGCTAACAGAAATAGCCGATTGCTCAGGAGCGTCCGTCCACCGTTTTCTGTGAGGTGCAGCGGAATCTGAATGACAGGGTAGCTGAGTTTTTCGTGGTTTACCCACTGGTGCCGGATGAGAATCGTGATACAGAGCATCATACACGTTAGCACGATGATCAGAGCTGACCACCAAAGCACAGGAGTCATCCAGAGTTGTAGGTGTTGGGCGGTGTGAAGTGAGGAATCGCCTTGATAGAAAGTTGCCAGCACACCCCGATCTTTGATAGTGAGCCAATCTGGCATGTGTCGATGGAACAATTCTCCCCATTCATTCTCTGGGCTTGCGAACCAGATAGGGTAAGTAAGTAGGGGCCATAATATCTGAAGCGTGTCGTGTCCCGCGATGGAGGACGCAATGGATACCAGTAGGTAAACCACCATCAATTCCGCATCGGTGAGACTTGCATTTTTTCGGATTGTACGGAGCAACGGGTTTACCGCCATTAAAATCAGCACGACAAAAATGACATTGAAATAGACGGTTGAGACGGTAGGGAAACTCTGACCTGTGCCATAACCGCTGGGACCCCAGTTAATCATGAGCCAGTAGGAGTTCGGGATAGTGATGAGGAGTGCGAGAAGTACAGCGCGGAGGCTGACGTTTTTGTTTGACATCTTTTGAGTTTCCCGCCTTCATTATACAGAGGACGTAGGAAATTGTCAACTGAGCAAAAAAGAAAGCCCATGCGGTCGCATATTGAGGTGATTAACATCCAATATTGCAAGCATGGGCTTTTTCTACTTACTTAAAATGATCGTGCGTTATTTTGACGCTGCCTTTAGATCTCCCCAGGTCGTTGCTAATTTACCGTTCGGTTCAACGGCGAAGAACTCGGAATTTTCACCGAGATAATTCAGCACGTTCGCTGTGAGGTTTCTCAGATTAGTTCCCTCTTTCGATTTTGCATCAGTATAAACACCGTTGTGGTGTCCGAGGGTGATAACTATTCCGTCACCGACCTCATATTCAACGAAAGGACGTTCTCCACCACCAGCACCACCGCCACGTGTTTTCGTTCCGAGGATAGTACCGGCCGGATCTGTTCCGCCGAAGTTATGGAAATCTGAAGTAAATCCAGCCTGATCCATACTGGTAAGAAAAACCGGCTTGCTGGTATCAAATCCTTCAAAGACGGGATGGTTTTTGCCATCAGCGGTTGGAAGTACGCCGATTTCAGGAGGATCCTTGCCGAGCGGTCCAAAAACCCGTGGGTCCCCGCCGTCTTCAACACCGAGCTCGACGACATAGCGGAGTGCTAACGCTGAGAGAAATACACCGCCACCCGCCTCTACGTAATCAAGAATTGACTTCACGGTTGGGGCAGCGAGAAACGGTTCTGGCAGTGTGTTCGTTTCTGTGTAGAACATCCATAACACAGCGAAATCTTCTGGTTGCAACTCGGTGCCGTTGGCGTTTTTGAATTTACCGCTTTTATCAACGAGGAGTGTTGTGGTTTTGAAATTGTCCTCTGCCCACTCGTAGGCGGCTTCTTCTACTTCACCGAGTTTGTTATTGCCTGTGAGTAGTCCAACGGTTACATCTGCTGAATACGTTGGCACAACGACACACGCAGAAAAGAGAAAAATTAGACATAGACATCGGACTATTAGCGAATGTTTCATTATTTTAGCCCCTTTGGTTTAGAAGCTTGTGCTTGGTAAGTGAATACGTTACCTATAGGATAGCATGCATTGAGGGCGTTTGTCTAACAGGATTCAATTTGCATAAATTCTGCTTTGATTTTAAGCGTATTTATAGTATGATAATGGAAAAGTATAATATGTGCGTCTATGTGAATCACACTATAATTTAATAATTTGCTTAATGAAGGAGCGTAAAATGTTCTACAAGTTCACACATCTACATATCGGAAAGCTGCAAGTTGTCTTTGTAGTTGTCGCAATGGTAATAGCCTTTGCAGTTTCGACGCAAGCCGACCTCAGCGACCCGACGCTGTCCGTCTACTATAGTTTTGACGAGGATGGTGATACCGTCAAAGACGGTTCCATTAACGGTAACGACGGAAAAATTGAAGGAAAAGTCGTGAGAGAAGATGGTGTTTTCGATAAAGCCATCGTTTTAGAACCACAAACGTGGATAGACATGCACGGACCGGATTTCAAAAACGGACCGGTTGATGGTATCACACTTGCTGTCTGGATCAATCATAGCGGTTCACCTAATCCACAAACCCTTTTAGATGCAATCGGAACCGACCACGCGAGTGGTCTCTACCACGCCGAGATCCGTCCCGGCGGATTCAGATGGTTCCATCGAAATGGTGCCAATGCAGAGGTATTCAATATCAACCCCGGTCCCGTTATCGACGCTGAAAAGTGGGTACATTTCACCGGTACCTATGACAGTGGTAGCGGCGACGTGAAAACATACATTGACGGAAAGATGACGCACGAGGCGAAAGGGAACGGTGAACTTTCAGACAACTGGGACGTCACAGCCGGGATCGGACACCATAAGAACGGTCGCTGGTACGATGGACTGATGGATGAATTCTATATTTTTGGTCGTGCCTTATCCGAAGATGAGATTAAAGAGGTAATGGATGGGGAATTTCTGTCGGTGGAACCGGCAGATAAGCTCGCCACAACTTGGGGTAGCATTAAATCGAGGTGATAAAGTCTTAATTTTTTCGTTACACATACAACTGAACGGCTTGAACACGGTGTTTTCCTGTGTTCGAGCCGTTTTTTATTTACCAATTCGGGTCGTATTCCCAATTGACGCGCTGTCGCCCGTAAGTTATGCCGTCAATTTCAGTCTGGTGGCAGACGAAGCATCTGTGAAAATCGGTAACACCGTGAAGTTCGTGTGCTAAACGAATTTCTTCTGTATTGTGCACATGGCAGTTGAGGCAGGTATAACTCTGATAGTCTGAATCGGCGTAGATAGCGATCATATCTGCTACTTTGCGCGCGTGGTAGGTACGGTTGTTTTCACTATCTCTGATTGTCCATGCGTTTCCGGTTTCTCGGATTGAGACGGGTGCTGTTTGCCTTACCTTGAGTTCGTGTTGTGAGAACCACCAGTGCAAGTCGTCCGGAACGGTGTCTGAGGTATCCAATTCTTGCGGAAAGGTTGTACTGACATGGAACAGCAGCGGTTCTGACGTATGGCATCTCGCGCAAGGCACATCATGGACCTCGGTGAGCGGGAAAAATCGTCGTGCTCCAGTTTTTGTTGCCCGTGGAATACGATGCTGACGAGTAGGATCGGTGCAAGGATGAGGTGGCATCGGAGCAGAATCCGGCGTGCCTTGCGAGTGGTTAGACTCACGGCGATACCTGTCCCTAAATTCGACAGAGCGAGTAGGAATGTAAGCCATGAGTGCCACGCGAGCGGTTGGAACGCAGAATGGAATAGCACCAAGCATAACCCCAAGGAGGCGAGGCGTTGATGGTATTTCAGCCATGTCTGACGATTGCCCCACCGGATCCAGCGACTTCGCAGAAGATAGAGACTGGCAATAACGATGGCGATAGCACCGATGATGCTAAGTGTGTGTCTCGCTTCACCAAAACTGCCTGCCTGCCAGATGCATAAACCTGAAATAACAGCAGCACCAACGATACCGTGTCCAATTTGGATAAAGACTTTCATGCTCTCAGTTTAGCATGTATATGAGGTGAGGTCAAGTAAAAGCCACTGATGTAAACATAACGGAGGCTTTCTCGGAATAGTTATTGGGTTGGTAGGAAACATTTACTTCTGGCTAATTTTCTTGTCCTTCAGGAGCTATCCAGCGAAGGAAATCAGCAGGGATTAAAGGATCGATAAAAGTGTTAAGGATAATTCCGAGAATTCTGGGTTCTTGAATCGCGAGCCAAATCAGTCCGTCGCCTTGCTCGTGTTCATGTAAGGTGTCTTGTATTTTTTTTCTTGCTGTCTCATTTGCCTCTATGACAAACTTTACATAAGCTTTCCAGAAAGCTTGGTGTATGTGCGGCTCAATTTCTCGTGGTGGGAACCATCTGAAAAATGGCGCGTTTTTAAGGGCGCGAGTTTCTGCCTCTATTAGGTGTGGTGGTTCGGGATGTACACGGAGATTAGTAAGGATAATCAGACTTTGTTCTATGGTAGCCAGTTCATAAAAGCTTGCTATATCTTGATCGTTAATTACGAGATGTGCCAGGCGTTGCTTGAAAATAGGACAGATTTTCTTTTCCGCATCCGGCGGTGTTGTGTCAAGGAACTCATCAAAGGTTTGGAAGGGCTTTACCTGCTTGGAAACGCGAGAGAGAAATTCTAAGTAGGTATCTGAGTTGGCAAGGGTTTGCAGTGTGTTAAGGTTCTCATCTAAAAGTGGTCCTGGGAATGCTGCTCGGAGTTTAGAAAACGTTCTTTCTTCAAGGTTAGCGACAGGCACAGCATCCAGGGTAGAAACGGGTTCTGTTTCCTCACGGGAAGTTAACGTATTGTCAGTATGGTCTATACATCCAGAAAGAAGGAGTATACTCAAGAATAGAAGCACAGTGAATAGTTTGAGTGTGCGGCATTTGTGAATCATCAAGATGCTTCCTTAAGTAGGAATAGCAAATTTTGTCTAAATACTAATTCTGAACATGAACTTTCATAGTAACAGTTTAACACTGACGATTGGGCGAAGTCAAGGGACCTTGTTAATGTTGGAAATACACAATGTCCTGCGTGTAGATGTTCGCAGCTGAATCTGATTTTGTTTCAAGCCACGTCTGTCAATCAATTGGAGAAACGGATGTAAACTTTTTTGATAGGTTTCTCGTATAATATGTTATAATGGTCAACACTGACGGATAAATCCAAAGGAGAAAGAGAGATGAAGTTGCAATTAACTTTCGTGCTGCTGTCGCTTTTGGCAGTGGTGGCATTTGCTGGGTGTTATACGCAATTCGGTTACCAAGCGTCTTCAGATTTGGGTCGGGTACACCATAAGCACTATGAAGGTTTGGCGAAAGAGGAAACGGAGGCAGAGCATGCCGCCGAAGCAGATTCGGAAGAATCCGAATTAGCGCATGCGGATGACGAGGATTCGGAAGGCTATTACGGACGACGGAAGCGTAGTTATCGTACCACGTACACTCAACCTCATAGGTACGATACCTATGGGTCACCTTACGTAGCGTATCCGTATTACGCATATCCGCCGGTATTGTATTCCCCCTATCGTTCATTTTACGGATACAACAGGTATTATTATGGTTACCACGCGCCGTATTATGGCTACTATAGAGGCTATTATCCTTATAGAAACGTCTATCGTCGGTATCACAGTGGAAGTCGATATACCCCGCTTTCACGGCGCACATACAAAAACAGCAGTGTACAGCGTAACAACCGGCGTTCGCGGAGTTCACGCAGTGTGACTTCACCGAGGTCGAGATCCGAACGGCTGCGGACAAGAGATCGGAATAAAAAATAATAATGGAGGAATCGGAACCATGAAACGAGCAGTGTATGCAAGTCTTATCTGTTTATTCGCCATAGTGTCCTTTACAACTGTTAGTATGGCGCAGGTAGAAGAGATGGCGATCGGAAATACATTCGGCATTGGGGCGCGGACGATGGGAATGGGTGGAGCGTCACTCGGACTCGCTGATGATTTCACCGCGCTTTATTGGAATCCTGCTGGTATGGCGCAGATCCAAAAGTTCGAGTTTTTTAGTAGTTTTTCGCATAACAGGGCAAGGACGAATACCTATTTTACCGGTGATGAAACAACTGGGACGAGCCGATCACAGATGCGTCCGAATTCTATCGGGTTTGTCTATCCGCTGGAGACAAGACAGGGTGGCTTGGCGATCGGTTTCGGTTACAATCGTCCACAAAATTTCGATTACCAGACTGCAATTCAGGGCATTGACCCGAGTTCTGGTACTGATTTCAGCGGATTCGCTGTTGATGAAACCGACGTGAACACCGGCGGCATTGGGATTTGGAGTTTTGGCGCGAGTGTGTACGTCACAAAACGGGTTCTGATTGGGGGTTCGTTAGATTTCTGGAACGGCAATAGCCTGAATGAATTAAATACGGAAGCCACTGACATCGTGAACGTGGATGATGAGTGGTCGCGTTTTAGATACGGCGACGAAGTTGACCGGGAGTATTCAGGTGTAGGGGGCAGGATAGGGCTTCTGGCACATCTGACCGATGCTATTAACCTGGGTGTGACGCTGGTCGCGCCTGTTGAATTAGGCGTTGACGAACTCTGGTATCAGTCTACAGTAGATGTATATGATGATGGGGAAAAGTTGTCGGATTCCGTAGATGGTGCACAAACGTATGACATTGAGCGTCCCTTTGAAGTTGGTGCCGGGGTCGCTGTGAAATTGTTAAACAAGCAACTGATTTTGGCAGGCGATGTTCAACTCACAGATTGGACACAGACCCGTTACGATCCAACTCCTGCAGACGATATATCAAAGGATAATTTTGAGAAATACTATGCGGTAACGCTTCAGGCACGGGTAGGGGTGGAATATAGAATTCCCGGAATTGATACCCACGTCCGTGTCGGTTATTTTCGGGATACGATTCCGTTCACGGATGCTGAAGTTGAAAACGCTCGCGATTTTTTGACGATGGGTGTAGGCAAAATCTTTGAGGACACCCTAAAATTTGATGTGGGGTATATGCTTGGCACCTGGCAGCGGAGCAGGAATGAGTTGACAACGGAACGGCTTACACATCGTGTGTTTGTTTCTGCTGCGTATCGGTTTTAAGTCGTTATTTGGAAATCGAGATGAACATATTGTGATAAACCCTATAATTATTTGGATGCCTAAAGATTGGCGAGGTTAGAATGCAGATCGCATTTGGGCGAGTACGCCGCAAAACCTCGCCAGCGAAGAGAGAGCAATGGCTGCGAAGCCTAGCTACTATTTCTGAAGCGTGTGCAATGAAGACGGGCGGAGTGGATAACTCCGCCCGTGTATTTTATTGAACGTGCTAATGAACACCGTCAAACAAGTTGGATGTAGCCCATCTGTGTACCATCGCCTTTTCGGAGTTCGCCTCTGATGATACGCGTGTATCCACCGTTCCGGTCTTGGTACCGCGGTGCAATGTCATCGAATAGCTTACGTAGGACAGCGTGTTTGTCAAGTGCTTTAGGGGCTTCGCCTCTTCCGGGTTTATAGTGCAGGTTTGTCCCGTGGATCATTTTTGCGGCTTGTCGCCGTGCAGGCAGGTCGCCCTGTTTCGCAAGTGTGATTAATTTTTCAGCCACTCGGCGGAGTTCTTTGCACTTAGGGAGCGTTGTCCGAATTTGTTCGTGTTCAAATAGCGCGGTGGCTTGGTTGCGAAAAAGTGCCTTTCGGTGGCTTGTCGTTCGTCCCAATTTCCTTCCACGTTTTCTATGACGCATCTTCTTCCTCCATGTACGCGTTGTCGTGAAGCATTATGATTGCAACAAGGGAGTTTGCTCCATATCTTCTTCACTGATGTCTGCGTCGTCCATATCGTCTGGGTCCATTCCGAGGGTAAGGCCCATGTTGGCAAGTTGATCTTTGATTTCATTTAGCGAAGTTCGCCCGAAATTCTTGTATTCCAACATATCCTTTTCCTCTTTTGTGACGAGTTCCCGTATGGTCTTAATGTTTGCGGTTTCGAGGCAGTTGCTGGCTCGGACAGAGAGTTCAAGTTCGGAGACAGGCTTGGCGAGATATCGGTTTCGCCGTAGTTTTGTCTCGTCAATCTCAGGTTCCGGTTCAACATAGTTTTCATCGAATTCTGTAAACAGTTCGAGTTGTTGTAGCAAAATAGTCGCTGCGCGCGTAACAGCTTCCTTTGCTGTGATGGTTGCATCTGTCCAGACTTCGAGGTTAAGTTTATCAAAGTTTGTCATATCGCCGACGCGCGTTTCCTCTACCCAGAAGTTGACTTTCTCAACAGGTGAGAATTTCGCGTCGACAGGAATTAGCCCGATGTTCTGTTCTAGGGTTCTATGCTCTTCGGCAAGAGAGTATCCTCTTCCTGTTTGGGCGTGGATTTCTATATTTAACCCCTCGCATTCGTCGAGCATTGCGATATGTTGGTCAGGGTTTATAATCTCAACAAGTGCGTTAGGACGGATGTCAGCAGCGGTGACTTCACCGGAACCTTCAGCTTTCAATATGAGCTGCATTGGATCATCTGTTGCGATGTTTAGCCGAACCTCTTTAAGGTTGAGAATAATCTGGACCACATCTTCCAATACCCCGGAAATTGTGGCGTATTCGTGTTTTACCTGTTCAATTTGAACAGCCGTAATCGCTGCACCTTTAATTGAGGAAAGGAGGACTCGGCGTAGCGAATTGCCGAGAGTTGTTCCAAATCCGCGCTCGAAAGGTTCAGCAGTATATTTTGCGTAATCGGGCCGTAAGGATTGCGTGTCAGTTTTCAGCCGCTCCGGCATTTCTAGCTCGGACCTTATCATCGATTTCCTCCTATAGGGGTAAACTGGATGTTAGAACACACATGAATTAAGGGACAGTGCTTTGTAAAGTTGCACATTTGCCACTTAATTCTGTGTCGGAGTCGTATTATTGGACATCCCTGATTTCCACGAGCATTTTAGTGCAGGCGTGCTATTGCATCGCATACATATTTATGGAATGCTCGAGATTCGATAACGCACAAGATATGGAGATGTGCCTATCGGGAGTAAAGTTCAATGATGAGTTGCGTTTCAAGGTCCACGGCGATCTGCTCTACCACGGGTGCTCCCTGAACACGCCCTTCCACTTTATCGGCATCGATTTCGAGCCATTCAGGTGCGCCGCGTTGTTGTGTGTACTCAAGTGCTTCCTGAATGGTAGCGAGGTTTCGGCTTCGTTCGCGTGGCGTGACGACATCACCGATTTGCACGATATAGGAAGGAATGTTAACACGCTTACCGTTGATGGTGAAATGATTATGCTTCACCAGTTGACGTGCCTGATTCCGAGAAGTCGCAAACCCGAGCCGGTAAACGACATTGTCTAATCGGCGTTCAAGGAAACTAATCAGATTCTCACCAGCAATACCGGATTGGCGTGCAGCTTTGAAATAATAGTTCCGAAATTGTTTCTCAAAAACCCCGTAGGTCCGTTTGACTTTCTGTTTGGCGCGCAACTGTCGCCGGAAGTTATCGCGACCTCGGCGAGGCGGTGTCTGTCCGTGTTGTCCAGGTGGATAACTCCGGCGTTCAAAGGCACATTTGGGACCGTTGCACGTCGCCCTTTCAGAAAAAGTTTTTCGCCTTCGCGTCGACATAATTTACAGACTGCGTCTAAATATCTACTCATTCGTTTTCCTCAAATACCTCAAACCCGTCGTCTCTTAGGGGGACGACATCCGTTATGTGGGATAGGAGTCACGTCTTTCATCAAACTAATTTCGAGTCCGGCTGCGGCGAGTGCCCGTATAGAAGACTCTCGTCCCGATCCGGGACCTTTGACTCTAACCTCCACGCGTTTCATGCCGTGATCCATTGCTCGGCGCGCGCATGCTTCTGCTGTCTGCTGTGCAGCAAAAGGCGTTGACTTCCGTGAACCGGTGAAAGTCATCCCAGCGTTCGCCCAAGCAACGGTGTTTCCGTTTAAGTCTGTGATCGTAATAATTGTATTATTGAAGGTAGCTTGGATGTGCGCTATACCCTCAGGTACATTTTTGCGTTCTCTTCTTCTTCCACGCAAAACGATTCTCCTTTCTTATGCGTCTTCAGCAATCGGTTTTCAGCTGTTAGTCTTCAATAAGCATCAGTGATCGGTAAGCAAAGCGTTCTCTTATCCAAAAACCGATGACTGAAAACTGACAACCACTTCTCATTAGCCGCTCTTGCGTGCTGTCTCTTTGGCTTTTCTGCCGACAGAGATAGTTCTTGCTTTTCCCTTACGGGTGCGAGCGTTTGTATTCGTGCGCTGGCCGCGGACAGGCAATTGCCGACGATGCCGTAAGCCGCGATAACTGTTGATATCCATCAGCCGTTTAATATTCTGATCGATTTCGCGTCGCAAGTCCCCTTCAATCTTATAGTCTTGAATTTGGTCTCGGAGTTGACTAATCTCGTTTTCAGCGAGCGTGTCAACTTTTTTTGCCGGATCAATGTCAAGGTTGGTGACAATTTGCGATGCGGTGTAGACGACCGATGCCGTAAATTGCTGTCAGTGCGATGTCTATCCGTTTATCTCGGGGTAAATCAACCCCTGCAATCCGTGCCATGCGTATTCTCCTTTTGTGCTATCCTCTGAATCTCCGAGTTTCACTGGCAATCGTCAATTTTCCAGCGAACTCGGTAGCATCGGAGTGTCATCCGGAAGGTGTGAAAGAGTTAGCCCTGTCGCTGTTTGTGCTTCGGGTTTGAAGGACAAATAACTCGGATAATTCCTTTTCGCTTAATAATTTTACACTGGTTACACATCTTTTTAACAGAAGCTCTGACTTTCATAGTATCCTCTTTCAGGTGAAAGCGCTTAACGCCGTCTGCCCTTGAGTTTACGATCTTTTAAGAATCCTTCATAATGGCGGACGGTCAAATAGGATTCAATTTGTGACATTGTATCGAGTACCACACCGACCACAATCAAAATAGAGGCACCGTCTACCATACTACCGATTTGGAGGTAACCTGTGATCATAATAGGAATCACAGCGATAGCGGCAAGAAAGATTGCGCCCGGCAGCGTGATCCGTGTGAGAGTCGTATTGATATAATCAGCAGTCTGTTTTCCAGCACGGATACCGGGGATAAAACCGCCGTATTTCTGTAAGTCCTCTGCCATTTGGATAGGGTTAATTTGCACGGCTGTGTAAAAATAGGTGAAGCCGATGATTAACAACGCATAAAAGGTAAGCCACAACGGTGTACCCGTATCAATCAGTGCTTTCGCGCCTGTTACCCATCCCCAGTCTCGTGGAAGAAAGTCAAGAACAGTCGGCGGGAACTGAATAAGTGTAATAGCAAAGATGATCGGAATCATGCCAGCGGCGTTAACTCTGAGCGGCAGATGTGTTGATTGCCCGCCAATCACTCTACGCCCGCGAATCTGTCTACCGTATTGTACTGGAATCTTCCGGACGGAGAGCGTGATGAAGACGGTCCCCATAACGGCTATAACAATGAGCCCGACGAGCATCACGAGTTGTAGGATGCCAAATTCTGGTCTTGTCACTAAATTGCTTAAAACAGTAGTGACACCACCAGGTAAGCCAGCAATAATCCCAACTGTAATGATTAACGAGATGCCTTGTCCAATACCGCGCTCCGTGATTTGCTCACCAAGCCACATAACGAAGGAGGTACCCGCTGTGAGTGTCACGACTACGAGAAAATGCCACCATAAGTTAGGATCCCTGACGATCTCGCCTGCTTGTCCGGTAATGTTCTCTGGATTCCGCAAGACGATACTGATCGTTATACCTTGGATGATACTGAGTATAACAGTTCCGTATCGTGTGTACTGCGTAATTTTCTTTCTGCCATCAGGTTCTTTTGAGAGTTTCTCCAAAGAAGGGACGATGACAGCGAGGAGCTGCATAATGATTGAGGCACTAATATACGGTTGTATACCGAGTGCGAAAATCGTCATTTGACTAAATGCGCCCCCGGAAAACAGATCGATGAACCCAATGACATTGCCCCCACGCTCCATGAGTTGTTCAAAAAACGCCTCAAGTGCTACATCGTCGATACCGGGAAGCGTAATGTGGGCACCAAGTCGGTAAACAATCAAGAGCAACCCTGTAAAAATAAGACGTTTCCGCAATTCGGGGATTTTAAAAGCGTTTTGGAATGCCTTAATCACTTATTTTTTTCCTCCTCGCCTGCAGACTCTCAAGCAGCGTTGTCGGTATTTTCGCGCATCCCGAGGACCTCGGCTGTGCCGCCTTTGGATTCAATTTTCTCGATCGCTGATTTTGAGAAACGATGCGCTTGGACTTTCAGTTGTTTTTCGAGTTCGCCATCGCCGAGTATCTTTATCAGTGCGTTCTTTCGTCTAATTACGCCTGCTGCGCGAAGGGATTCCGGACTGACGACCGCTGCGTCATCGAAAAGATTGAGGGTTTCTACATTGATAACATCATACTCAATTCGTTTGTGTGCGATTCGTCGTGGTCCTCGCTTCGGTAAGCGTCGCACGAGCGGCATCTGTCCACCTTCAAACCATGCGGGAATTGAACCACCGGATCGGGATTTTTGTCCCTTATGGCCGCGTCCACAGGTTTTTCCCCAACCTGAAGCGTTCCCTCTGCCAACTCGCTTTCTTGAGCGTTTTGCACCCTGTGCGGGTTTAAGTTCATTCAATTTCATCAGGATTACTCCATTCCTTAACCGTATTGTCAGCGCAGCTTAGAGCCAAGCGTTTCGTATACGCGGACAAACCATTCTGAAGTGCGTCAGTCTTTACTATCTTTTAGCGTCTCTTGAGTAGTTCTTCAACAGATAGGTCTCGTAGTCGCGCGACTTCGTTGATATCCTTGAGGTTCTTCAACCCAAGCATAGTGGCTTCAGCAATATTTTTCACGTTCCGAGAAGATAGGCATTTTGTCAGTGCGTCTCGGACCCCTGCGAATTCGAGAATAGCGCGTGTTGCGTGCCCTGCGATAATGCCTGTTCCAGGACTTGCGGGTTTCAACAAAACTTTGGCAGATTTAAATTCGCAGGTAATTTCATGCGGGAGTGTACCGTTGGTGATGGGTACACGAATTAGGTTTTTTCGAGCATCGGCGAAGCTTTTACGGAGTGCGCCAGCGACTTCGCTTGCACTGCCAAATCCGATACCGACAATACCATCACGATTTCCAACAACCGTGAGCGAGTTAAAACTGGGCGTTCGCCGCCCTTTACCGACTCGCATCACACGGTTAATTGTGATCATGCGTTCCTCAAATTCAAATTCATCAGGGTTAATTCTATCTTTCAGCAAAAAAAATCTCCTATCCGGTACTAATCCTGTTTACTGGGTATATAGGGGTACAGGAACCGGTATGTGGCATTTAGAACTTAAGTCCCTCAGCCTTCGCAGCTTCTGCGAGGGCTTTTATGCGCCCATGGTAGAGATGCCCGCCCCGATCAAAGACGACTACCTCAATTTCTCGCTGCTTGGCTTTTTGGGCGATAAGTGCACCAACACTCTCCGCTGCCGCTATATTTCCACCTTTTGAAAGCGTCTCTTTCAGTTCCGGTGACAAAGTAGAGGCTTCGGCGACTGTCACACCAAGTTCATCGTTGATGAGTTGCGCATAGATATGTTTCAAACTTCTGAAAACAGCCAGCCGCGGTCTGTTACCGGTCCCACTAATCTTTTGGCGGACGCGTTTCCGACGTCGTAGATGGCTCATCCGTTTCTTTTTTATGAGTGTCAAGGGCTCTGTTCCTTTGAACCTGAGTATTTCTATACAAATCTATAGAAACTTCGGTTTGCAATCACCAATCAGATTGGTGGAACCTACAAAGTTAGTGCCGAAACACTAACGCTTTTTTATCTTCTACTACCAATTGTCGCACTTTTCTATACCGCTTCGACGTTGTGGATGGTGCGGGTATAGCATGTCTGTAGAGGTCTTATGGTTATAGCAAGACTTCCTTCGCTATACACTTCGCCCAAGACAATCTGCTTTTTATGGCGTTTCCACAGATTTGTCACCAAAAATAGAGAATTATCTATAATTAGATCGGTTTGGGAACTACTCCTTATTACCATTTTCGCCCTATTGCGCAAGATATAACAGCATTAGGCGGCAGCAGCAGCTTTCCCTTCTTTATCTCGGACGCGCTCGCCATCGTAGCGGATACCTTTACAAGGTTTATAAGTATCTGGTTTCCGGATCTGACGAATAGTAGCTGCTACCTGTCCAACGAGTTGTTTATCAATACCACTGACAACAATAGGCGTGTGTGCTTGCCCATCTATTGTTTCAGAGGCTTCAACACTAAGCGTGATACCCTCAGGTGGCGTGTAAGTGACGGAGTGTGAATAGCCGACATTAAGAACCAAATTGTTCTCACAATTGACTTCGGCACGGTAGCCGGTCCCCACCACACGCAGTTTTTTCTCAAAACCCTCTGAAACCCCGGTAACCATGTTGGCGATGAGGCTGCGCGCCAATCCATGCAAGGCTTTGTGCTGTTTGAGTTCACTGATTCTTTGGACGGTTAGGACGTTTTCCTCAAGCGTCGCGTCGATTCCATCTGGAAGTTTCCAATTGAGACTACCTTTGGGTCCCTCAACCTGTACATCGCTTTCATTTAAAGCGACCTGTACTTTGTCGGGTAATGGAATCGGTTTTAGTCCAATACGTGACATTCTATTTCTCCCGGTTCGTTGAAAGTCATCCGCAAAATCTTACCAGACGTAACACAAGACTTCGCCGCCGATTTTTTCCCTGCGGCATTGTGGTGTGGTCTTTAGCCCACTGGATGTTGATAAAATAGCGACACCAAGCCCGCCATAAACCCGCGGTAGCTTATCAGCTTTGGCGTAAATCCGTCTACCTGGTTTGCTGATACGTCTAAGGTTTGTGATGACCTTCTGTTTTTTTGTATTTCCGTATTTCAAATAAACTCTTAAAATCCCCTGTTTTCCATCTTCAAGCAAGCGGTAGTTTCGGACGAAACCTTCTTCCGTACCAAAACGCGTGCGATTTCCGCCTTGACGTTTGAAGAGGGAATTTCAACGCGTTCATGTCCTGCCATATTGGCATTGCGGATACGTGTTAACATATCGGCAATCGGATCGGTCATCGACATGAAAGATTCTCCTTATTTCGTTTTCGTTTTTGAATAGCCGATGTGCCCGTCATGCTTTTTCTTAAGACTTAAGAGCAGACAGGTTTCAGTTTTCTACCAACTCGCCTTTCGGACACCGGGGATTTTACCGGCGCGGGCGAAGAGACGAAAACAGATACGACACAATTCAAACTTGCGCAGATACCCACGCGATCTCCCGCAAGTTTTGCAACGGCTGTATTTCCGGGTTTGGAACCGCGGAGTTCTTTTCTGTTTGGCAATCCATGCTTTACTTGCCAAGCTAATGCTCCTTTTCTTAATTATCCGTGACATATATTTTCAATATGTCCGGATGTTGGAAGTTAGCTGCGTCTGAAGCTGCGAGGTAGTTTGTGTAGTCATTTGGCAGTGAAACCTTGTATGACCGAACCTATCTATTTTCGGAACGGCATTCCCAGCAGTGTTAGTAATTCGTGGCCTTCTTCGTCTGTCGGGGCGGTGGTAACAACGGTTACGTTCAGCCCGCGGGTATCGTTAACATTATCGTAATGAATTTCCGGGAAGATTAACTGTTCAGTGAGGCCGAGAGAGTAATTACCACGACCATCAAATGCATCTGGCGATACACCGCGAAAGTCCCGAATTTGGGGCATAACGATGTTCACCAATCGGTTGAAGAACTCATACATCCGCTGCTGTCTTAGGGTAACTTTACATCCGATTGCCATACCTTCTCTGACTTTAAAAGCAGAAACGGATTTTTTGGCGTGCGTAATGATAGCGCGTTGTCCGGCAATAAGCGTAAGTTCTTCGACAGCATCTTCCAATGCTTTCGAGTTCTGAAGTGCTTCGCCGACCCCGATATTGAGTGCAATCTTGTCCAGTTTCGGAATCTGCATTACATTTCCATAGTTAAAATGGCTTTGCAATGCGGGCATGACTTCCGTTTGATAAAATCCTTTGAATGGGCTCATGAGCCTTGTATCCTATAAAATAGCATATTCAGTGAAGTTTGTCTTGGCAACGCTTCTCGTATGCGGTGTCGAGGTTTTCACTTTACTTAGCCATCAACCTTTTTGAGGTTAGAAATGTGAATAGTGCCTTCGCGTTCGACAACACCGCCTTGTCCCATTTGGCTTGGTCGGAGGTGGCGTTTAACGATATGAACGCCTTCAACGATTGCGCGTTGTTTCTTAGGGAACACCTCCAAAACCACACCTTGCTTGCCCCGGTCCTGTCCGCTAAGGACTATGACCTTGTCATCCTTCTTAATATGCAGTTTTTGTTGTGCCACAATTGTCCTCCTAAATAACCTCGGGTGCGAGCGAGATAATTCGGGTGAAACCCTTTTCTCTGAGTTCCCGCGCGACGGGCCCGAAAATGCGGGTGCCTCGCGGAAGTTGGTTACCTTCTCGATCCGGCGGATTGACGAGAACTGCAGCATTCTGGTCAAATTTAATATAGGATCCATCTGCGCGTCGATATTCTTTAGTCGTACGGACTACAACCGCGCGAACGACTTCGCCGGCTTTAACCTGTGTATTAGGTGTTGCTTCTTTGATGCTTGCGACAATCACGTCGCCTACGCGTGCATAGCGACGCCGGGTGCCTCCTAATACACTAATGCACATTAATTTCCTTGCGCCAGTATTATCAGCACAGGTTAATCGAGAGTATGATTGAACCATTTTTGTATCCTCCTCTACCGTTTTTCAAAACGGTGTGTTTTGGAAACGTCAGAGTGTGGATGAAAACCCTTTCTTCTCAAGTGCCATGCGGACACCGTTTGCTGTCTCCTTCGCCTTATGTATAGGCAAAGCGTAAGCGTTCTGGTGATAGCACTTCTTAATCGTTTGCGGGCTGTACTGCGCTTACTACCGCTTGGACCCGCCACCGTTTCTGACGACTCAGCGGACGGGTTTCAACAACCTGCACCACGTCACCGACGTTACAACTATTCTGTTCATCATGAGCGAGAATCTTCTTCGTTTTCCGGACGACCTTCTTGTAAAGTGGGTGTTGATAGCGACGAACAATTGACACTGCAACAGTTTTATCCATTCTGTTACTGGTAACAAGACCCGTCCGAAATTTACGATGCCTTCTTCTTTCCTCGTTCAACTTTATCCTCCAAACCAGCCAAAACCTGTTAACGTGTACACTTTAGAACTCACATTCCTTGAAATTGATGAACTAGACTTGAGCCGATGTGCATAATCTTGCCATCTTCGTTCTGTTTACTCTGAACGCCCTTGCAGGAGAGTTTTCACACGTGCAATGTCCTTTCGGATCTTGCCGATACGTGTCGTGTCTTCTTGTTGTCCTAAGATACTTCTGAATCTCTGGTTAAACAGGCTCTCCTTTAGCGTTTTCAGTTCACCTTCCAACTCTTCGGTCGTCTTCCCTCGTAGTTCATCCGCTTTCATATTTCCGTGCCTCCTGGGGTGTTGTCAAAAACATGATGCTGCGTTTGCCCGCGCATAATTTTTTCCAACGCCGGAGTCGTAGACGAAATTACTCATTCCGTGCAACGAACTTGGTTTTGATTGGCAGTTTGTGGGCGGCTCGTTTCATCGCCCCTTTTGCATCTTCAAGCGAAACACCGCCTAATTCAAAAAGGATTCTGCCGGGTTTGGCTACAGCGACCCAGTATTCCGGAGGGCCTTTCTTGCCCTTACCCATGCGGGTTTCAGCAGGTTGTTTACTGAGCGGTTTGTGCGGAAAAACCTTGATCCAAAGTTTTCCACCGCGGCGTACATATCGCGTAATAGCGATACGTGCGGATTCAATCTGGTTGTTTGTAATCCAGCCGGCTTCCATTGCTTGCAAACCGTATTCACCGAAGTTGATTTGTGAGCCACGAAGCGGCTTTCCACGACGTTTTCCGCGATGCACATAGCGGCGCATCACGCGTTTCGGCATTAACACCTTAGATGCCTCCTTAAAATAAATCTATTCGTACAATTATGAATCGTTCCTGGATTCCTGACCACCCTGACGCGGCCTGCGCCGATTTCTTCCTCTGTCTTGTCTTCCGGATTGTCGGGGTCGTGCATCTTGAGAGCCAGAACGTCTGTCGCCTCGTCGACGCTCAGAACGTTGTGAACCTGTATCTTCGCGCCGTCCAGGTTGACGACGGACGGGTGTTTCGCCCTTTAATTTGTCTGGGACACCGATAATTTCGCCCTTGAAAATCCACGTTTTGACTCCGATTTTACCATACGTCGTATTTGCTTCGGTAAACCCGTAGTCAATATCGGCTCTGAGGGTGTGAAGAGGGACGCGTCCCTCAATACTGGATTCGGTACGAGCGATTTCCTTACCGTCTAATCTACCGCTGACCATAATTTTAACGCCCAAAGCCCCTGCTTGTATTGAACTGGAGATGCTACGCCGCATCGCGTGTTTAAAACCTGATCGCCGTTCTATTTGCGTTGCAACAGCTTCTGATACAAGTTGGGCATCGAGTTCAGCGACTCTAATTTCCGAGACATTAATCCGGACGGGGCAGCCGACCTCTTTTTCGATTAATGCTTGTAATTTCTCAGCTTCTGCAACCGCGGCGACCAATAACAATACCTGGGCGTGCTGTATGGATGTTGATGCTACAACGGTCAGCGACGCGTTCTATTTCAATGCGTGAAATTCCGGCGCGCGCCAGTTGCTCTTTGACGAACTTCTGAATCTGAAAATCTTCATGAAGCCACTTGGCGTAATCCCGTTCGCTGTACCACTTTGAATCCCACGTTTCAGTGATTCCTAAGCGTAATCCACGCGGGTGAGCTTTTTGTCCCATGGAAACCTCCTATCAGACTTTTCCCTCTTGTGACGCGTGGAGCCCGTGGCATTATGTGGTGCTTTGTAAGCGTGCACGCCGTTACTCAGCATCTTCGGTACTCTCCTCGCCAACGACAACGGTGATATGGCTACTGCGTTTTAGAATCTTATTTGCCATACCCCGTGCCCGGGGACGTATCCATTTCCGCGTAATCCCTTCATCAACGCGAATCTCTTTGACGTATAAGCCCGCAATATCAACACTTGGATCTTGATATCGTGCGTTCGCGGCTGCTGACTGAATCAGCTTGTAGATGATAGGGGACGCGGCTTTATGCGTAAAACGTAGTTGACTTAACGCATCTTCAACATATTGATTACGGACGAGATCGGCTACCAAGCGGACTTTCCGCGGCGCAACCGATGCGTTCCGAATTTTAGATCTGGCTTCCATCAGTATCTCCAATAAAAGCAAATTTCTGGTTCATCGCCATCATTGACGAAGCAGTGAACGTATCTTCCCAAAAAAGAAATGAATACACTGTCAATTTGCGATGAAGGTTATCGCAACAATTATCTTCTCCCACCACCAGCGTGAGAACGGAAAGTACGAGTCGGTGAGAATTCCCCAAGCTTATGTCCTACCATGTTTCTCTGTGATGTACACGGGAAAGAATTTTTTTCCGTTATAAATTGCCAAGGTGTGTCCTACTAACTCAGGTGTAATGATTGAACGTCGGGACCAGGTGCGGATCACCCGTTTGGTGCCAGAGCGCTCCATAGCGGCTACCTTCTTGGCGAGTTTGGGGTCTATATAGGGGCCCTTTTTGACAGAACGTGCCATTATGTGTCTCCTTTACCTTTTAAACATTATTTGCTCATGTAACCAACGAGGCACCCAAAAAGGGTTATTTTCGTTTTCCGACAATATAGCGGCTCGATTTCTTCTCGGGTTTCGGGTCTTATACCCTTTGGTTGGAACGCCCCACGGTGTGACTGGATGCCTACCCCCGGAACTTTTTCCTTCACCACCGCCGTGTGGATGGTCAACCGGGTTCATCGCTACGCCTCTAACTTTCGGGCGTTTTCCGAGCCATCTTGAACGTCCCGCTTTACCGATGACGATCTTGCTGACATTGCCGATCTGACCGAGCGTTGCCATCGCTTGCACTAGGATGAGCCGAATCTCGCCTGACGGAAGCCGGACACGCGCGTATTTTCCCTCTCTGTCAACCAATTGGGCAGCACCACCGGCACTACGCACAAGTTGTCCGCCTTTGCCGGGCTTCATCTCTATATTATGGATGGAGGAGCCGAGTGGAATTTTTTCAAGCGGTAAGGCGTTTCCAACCTGAATTTCTGCGTCTTCGCCTGAAGTTAGCATGTCGCCCACTTGAATACCAACGGGTGCAAGAATATAGCGTTTTTCCCCGTCAACATAGTTGAGGAGTGCGATATGCGCGGAGCGATTCGGATCATATTCAATTGCAGCAACTTTGGCAGGGATGCCAAACTTATCACGTTTGAAGTCAATGACCCGGTATCGGCGTTTGTGTCCACCACCGCGGCGTCTCACTGTCAAGCGTCCATTGGAATTCCGACCGGCTTTCTGCTTGGCCCCCTTGACGAGCGATTTTTCCGGTTTGCTCCGCGTAATCTCTTCAAAGGTGTACCCGGTCATAAACCGACGACTTGGGGTTATAGGTGAATACGTTTTAGGCACTCTGATTTCCTTTTTTCAAGGTGTCAGCGATAGTTCTTTCTTAGCTGAATCTACCGACACACTTGTCCATTTTGCATTGAGCGGATTACCTATTTGGCAATCATCATTACGTGAATAGGGGTGTCAATTTATCACGGACCTATATAGTTTCAAACGCCTGGATAGTGGCCCCTTCTCTTAGGGTAATAATCGCTTTTTTCCAATGCGGTTTTCTACCACGTTGATAACGCAACATTTTCCCTTTCGGCTTACCGCGAACTCGCATTGTGCGCACTTTGAGGATGTCCCCTTCGAGGTCGAACAACTCTTCTGCGGCGCGGCAAATTTGTGGTTTTGTTGCATTGCGATCAACAACAAACGCGTACTTGTTAACTTCGCGGAGAATTGTGCTTTTCTCTGTAATCAGCGGTTGCAGTATAATCTGATATGCATCCCTCATCAGTCTTGTCCTTCCACTTCTGAACCGGTGTTTATGAACTTGGCTTCGAGTTTCTTAGCGGCGTTCTCGGTGATTATCAACGTGTCGTGCCACATGACTTGATAGACATTGAGCGTATTCCATGTGCAGCTGTGAACTTTTGGAATATTCCTCACGGAGAGGTGTATATTTGGGCTATGTTCATCAAGAATGAGTAGCACCTTTCCATCAGCGTTCAGTGCTTTTAACATGTTGAGGATGTCTTTGGTGCGCGGTTGTTTGAGCGTGAAATCTTCAAGGAGAATGCACTGCTTATTCTGGAACCTGTCTGCCAGTGCGCTATGTAAGCCAAGTCGTCGGACTTGTTTCGGGGTGTACTGCCGATAACTCCGCGGTTTCGGTCCGAACGCTACACCACCGTGAACTCGAATCGGGGATTTCGCATCTCCGACGCGGGCTCTACCAGTTCCTTTTTGGCGGTGGAGTTTTTTTCCACTGCCTTTCACTTCACTCCGGGTCTTTGTTGATGCATCACCTTGCCGCTGATTGGCAAGGTAGGCAACGACGCACTGATGAATGACTGGACCATTCACCTCAACATCGGTGAATGCGTCGGCTAATTCCTTTTCGTGCAGGACATCCCCGGACCTGTTGTGTACGTCTAAAGTTGACATATTATATGCTCGTTTCTTTTGGCACTCGTTTGGTTATGAGCGTCTGCCTATGCACTCGATGCTTTAGATGCTTTTCTAATCAGAAGCAAGCCGTTGGGTGGTCCAGGAACTGCGCCTTTTACCACCAGCAAGTTACGCTCGGGATCGGCTTGGATCACGGGAAGGTTTTGGACGGTATGCCGTTTGGCACCGTGGCGTCCAGCCATCTTTTTCCCTTTAAAGACTCGCGAAGGTGTCGCGCTTGCACCGATGGAACCGGGACGACGGAGGTCTTGCTCACCACCGTGGCTTTTTTTACCACCCGCGAATTTCCAACGTTTCACCACACCGGTGAAACCGTGCCCTTTCGAGGTACCTGTCACATCAACAAGTTCACCTTCTGAAAAGACGCTTGCATCAACAATGTTTCCTACAGACACCTCATCAAGACTCTGTACCCGAAATTCGCGAAGCACCCGTGCAGAATCAACACCGGCTTTTGCTAAATGTCCACGTTTCGGGCTATTCGTGCGGTTCGCTTTCTGTTCCCCAAAACCTAACTGAACTGCTTGATAGCCGTCTTTCTCTTGCGTTTTGAGTTGGACAATTGGACAAGGACCGGCTTGGATAACAGTAACAGGCACCGCTTTTCCAGAGTCTTCAAAGATTTGTGTCATGCCGACTTTGCGGCCGATAATTCCATTAACCATTTTTTTTCGCTCTCCTCCTTTAGGATTTGCAAACCAACCACTTATTCAGTAGCGATTTCCAAACCATCGGAGTGGAGAACAATCATTTCTCCGACTACAGTAGCGTAATTTTGACATCGACCCCTGCAGGCAGGTCCAACCGCATCAAAGCATCAACGGTTTTAGGTGTAGTCTCTAAGATATCCAGCAGACGTTTATGAATCCGCATCTCAAATTGTTCACGTGACTTTTTGTCCGTAAACGTTGAACGTTGGACGGTATAGATATGCTTTTTCGTCGGCAATGGAATCGGACCGGAGACAGCTGCACCTGTGCGTTTCGCAGTATCTGCTATCTGCTTTGACGATAGGTCTAATAACCGATAGTCAAATGCCTTGAGCCGGATGCGAATTTTTTGATTGTCCATCTTTTCGTGTCGCCTTCACCAAACAAGAGGGGTGTCGTTGATTAACATCTTGAAGTTGATGTCCGAAGTCCTCCGTGTTGATGCCCTTATATAAGGGCGGAGTTTACACTCCGCCCAATCTCTTATTCAAGAATTTTGGAGACAACACCGGCACCGATAGTCTGTCCGCCTTCCCGAATTGCGAATCGGAGTTGTTCTTCCATCGCGATCGGTTTGGACAATTCAACGGTAATCTGTGCATTGTCGCCGGGCATAATCATCTCAATGCCTTCCGGGAGATCCATTTTTCCGGTTACGTCGGTTGTTCTGAAATAGAACTGCGGTCTGTATCCGCTAAAGAATGGGTTCCAACGTCCGCCTTCATCTTTTGTGAGAATGTAGGCTTCGGCTTCAAATTTGGTATGTGGCTTCACAGTTCCGGGGATTGCCAAAACCTGTCCGCGTTCAACTGCATCGCGCTCAATACCGCGTAGCAAAGCACCGAGATTGTCACCAGCACGTCCTTCATCAAGGTTTTTGTTGAACATCTCAACACCGGTGACGACGGTGTCTTGTGTTTCGCGAAGTCCGACGATTTCAACAGTCTTTCCGACTTCAATAATACCGCGTTCAACGCGCCCAGTAACAACGGTACCGCGCCCACTGATGGTGAAAGTATCTTCAATCGACATCAGGAAGGGTTTCTCGGTATCACGAACGGGTTCCGGGATGTAGCTATCGACAACTTCCATGAGTTCCAGAATTGGCTGACACGCTTCATTTGTCGGGTCTCCGTCGGCTTCCATAGCTTGAAGAGCAGAACCTGTGACGAGGGGAATATCGTCACCGGGGAAGTCGTAATTACTGAGCAATTCGCGAACTTCCAACTCGACGAGTTCAAGCAGTTCTTCGTCATCAACCATGTCTGCTTTGTTGAGGAAAACGACGAGAGATGGCACATTCACCTGCCGCGCGAGGAGTACGTGCTCACGTGTCTGAGGCATGGGACCATCAGCAGCGGATACGACGAGAATTGCGCCGTCCATCTGTGCTGCGCCGGTAATCATATTTTTGATATAGTCGGCGTGTCCGGGGCAATCAACGTGGGCATAGTGCCGATTCTCGGTCTCGTATTCAACGTGTGCTGTGTTAATCGTAATGCCACGCTCTTTTTCTTCAGGTGCCTTGTCAATATCCTCATACGTCTGGACGTAATCTGCGCCGGCAAGTTTAGAGAGTACCATGGTAATCGCTGCAGTCAGCGTTGTTTTACCGTGGTCAACGTGGCCGATTGTTCCAATATTAACGTGTGGCTTAGTCCTTTCAAATGTTTGCTTAGCCATTTTTCTCCGAGCTCCACTAAAAGTTTATTATTTCGGGCGTTGTCAGCACTGTTTCCACAAAACTGCGCATTCCCGTTTCTATGGGGTGTCCAAACGCTTTGTCGCGTGGTAACACCGTTTAATTAAATCTTATGCCCGCTTATGGGAAGTGAGAACACTCCCACAGTTCGGACACTTCACAACTATTTAACAATTACGAATTACGATTCGTTGATGAAACTAAGTCCTCCATCACACTTGTGGGAACTTCGTTGTAGTGTGAAAATTCCATAGAGTAGTTCGCTCTACCCTGTGTGAGTGACCTGAGGGTTTTGACGTACCCAAACATTTCTGAGAGGGGGACATCAACTTTGATAACTTGGATACGAGATTTCGATTGCAGTTCTGTCTCGCGTATCTGCGCACGCCGTGCATTCAGATCACCTATGACTTTGCCGAGGTATTCGTCTGGCACGATAACCTCAACGTCCATGATTGGTTCGAGAAGTGTGGGGGTAGCACGCTTCAAAGCGTCCTTGAACGCCATTGAACCTGCGATAGAGAACGCCATTTCTGATGAATCTACTTGATGGTGTGAACCATCAACGAGTTTCACAGATATATCAACAACCGGATAGCCTGCGAGAACACCAGTATTCATAGCGTTCTCAATGCCTTTCTTTACTGCTGGGATGTATTCTTGCGGAATAACGCCACCTTTGGTGGCATCAACAAATTCAAAGCCGGTACCCTTTTCAAGGGGTTCAACTTCAATCACAACATGACCGAATTGACCTCTACCACCAGATTGGCGTACAAATCTGCCTTCAGACTTGACCGCCTTGAGAATCGTTTCGCGATAGGCAACTTCCGGGTTACCCACATTCGCTGAGACGTTGAATTCTCGGACGAGCCTATCAACAATGATTTCGAGGTGAAGTTCACCCATACCTGACAACAAGGTCTGTCCAGTTTCTGGATCTTGATGGACTTTAAAGGTTGGGTCTTCTTCAGCCAGTTTAGAGAGGGCGAGGTTTAGTTTGTCAATATCAGACTGTGTTCGGGGTTCAACTGCGATAGACATTACCGGGAGCGGGAACACCATAGTTTCTAAGGTGATATGAGCCTTCGGATCACAAAGTGTGTCCCCTGTTGAGAGATCCTTTAGACCGATAACTGCGGCGATGTCGCCTGCATAAACGGCTTGCAGCTCTTCCCGTTTGTTGGCATGCATCTGCATCAAACGTCCAACGCGCTCGTGTTTGCGAGTTTTGCTGTTATAGACAGTATCCCCTCTCTTGAGGACACCGGAGTAAACTCGTAGATAGGTGAGTTTGCCAACGTGCGGATCTGTCATGATTTTGAATGCTAAAGCACAGAAAGGATCGTTCTCACTCGGACTACGCGTTTTATCTTCTTCAGTTTTAGGATCAAAACCTACTATGGATGGCACGTCGGTCGGTGCGGGCAAGTAGGAGACGATTGCGTCTAAGAGCGGTTGTACGCCTTTATTCTTCAGAGCAGTTCCGCAGAGGACTGGAACGATTCTACCAGTGACTGCAGCGTTCCGTATTCCTGTTTTAATTTCTTCGGGCGAAAATTCGACACCGTCTAAGTATTTGAGCAGGAGTTCTTCATCACAATCGGCAATAGCCTCTAACATCCGATCGCGATATTCGTTTGCCATTTCTTCCATTTCTTTTGGAATGTCTGTCTCTTGAATAACAGTACCATCGCCGCCAGAGTCTTTTCCTACTTTCCAGATCTGCCCTTTCATGGAGATAAGGTCAACAATACCTGTGAATTGTTCTGCTGAACCGATAGGAAGTTGCACCGGAATTGCGGTAGCACCGAGGCGTTCTTCCATCATTTCGACGGTGCGAAAGAAGTCAGCACCGGTTCGATCCATTTTATTGACGAATGCAATTCGAGGTATGCCGTATTTGTCAGCTTGTCTCCAAACGGTTTCGGATTGCGGTTCAACACCGCCGACTGCACAGAAAACTGCGACCGCCCCATCGAGTACGCGAAGTGAACGTTCAACTTCAACGGTAAAATCAATATGCCCCGGTGTATCAATAATATTAATATGGTGTTTTTTCCAGTGACAGGTTGTTGCAGCGGCAGTAATCGTAATACCGCGTTCCTGTTCTTGCACCATCCAGTCCATCGTAGTGGTGCCATCGTCCACGTCACCGATTCGATAGACTCTACCGGTATAATACAAAATCCGCTCGGTTACGGTAGTCTTGCCAGCATCAATGTGTGCCATGACACCGATATTTCGCATGTGGGGCAGTTCTAAGCGTTGTGGGGTGCTGTTTTTTGTATCAGCCACGGTTGAGTGACTCCTTTTATATGTTACACTTCGGCAGTAAGCCGTGTTCACATTTTACCATCGGTAATGTGCGAAAGCCCTATTGGCTTCTGCCATTCGATGCTGATCCTGTTTTCTGCGGATTGCGCCGCCTTCGTTCTGCGATGCTTCAAGTATTTCGCCTGCGAGGCGTTCTGCCATGCGTCTTTCGCCGCGACCCCGCGCGGATTGTATAATCCAACTGAAAGCCAACCGTTGTTTTCGTTCTGCTTTTACATCAACCGGGACCTGGTAGGTTTGGCTGCCTACACGTCGGGGCCGAATTTCGAGGACCGGCTTGACGTTATTGATCGCTTGACGGAACACGGCGAAGCCATCTTCGTTGGTTTGACCTTCAATGATCTTGAAACTCTCATATAGGATTGATTGCGCTGTGCTTTTCTTCCCATCCAACATGAGACTATTAATAAACTTTGATACGAGTTTACTGTTATAAGTTGTGTCAGGGTTGACATCGCGTTTGCTGATATTTCCACGTCTCGGCATCTGATATTCCTCCGTAGTTTAGTCGGGTTTCCGTGCGCCGTATTTTGAACGACCTTGGCGGCGGTTGTCAACACCAGCTGTATCTAACTGCCCGCGAACGATGTGATAACGCACGTTAGCGAGATCTCTCACTTTCCCACCCCGAACCAAAACGACTGAGTGTTCTTGCAAATTGTGATCAATCCCCGGAATGTAACAGGTGGCTTCATAGCCACTCGTGAAACGGACTCGAGCGACTTTGCGCAGTGCCGAGTTCGGTTTTCTCGGCGTTATCGTTTTCACCTGTAGACAGATACCGCGCCGTTGGGGACATTGCTCAAGCACCGGCGATTTTGTCTTCTTCCGGAACCTCTTGCGCGGTTTTTTAATTAACTGATTAATTGTTGGCATTTCATCCTCCGGAATAAAATCTATGAGGGCTTTTGGCATTAAAAAAAGCCCGCGCGGGGCATCACAACTTCAGCAAAACAAATTAACGTGGAATTTGGGTACGACGTTAGAATGTTTCCGGATAATTGCCCCTTCCTCCCAAAAAAAGATTTATTAGGGTTTCCAAAGTAAATATTATACACTGTAAAAAATCGTTTGTCAAATTTTTTTGGAAAAAAAGTAAAAAAGACTGGAATTCTACGAATTTCTTAGTTTTTTAGCAATTTTTCCCCGTAAAAAAACTGTCTGAACGCTTAAATTTTCAGCGACAATAACGATATCTGCTTGTTTGCCGGCTGCAATTGAACCCACGGACTCCGCGATGCCTAAATTTTGCGCCGGTGTTGATGTTGCCATTGTTAATGCATCTTCCAGAGAATTTCCCCAATTGATGACATTGCGGATACCATCCATGAGGGTGATTGTCGCACCTGCAAGGCGTTCGGTCGGTTTGCCGACATCAAGCCACATCGCGCCATTACGGACATACTTCTCGGTGCTTCCAGCTTCAAAAGCGGTATCATTTTCAGAAATTGCACCTTCGTTGAGGCGATATGCATCAAGCTGCGGAATGTATGTTGCCGATTCTTGCCAGTCTTCGGCAGGAACACCCGCAAGTTCTGTACAGTCCGTAATCAACCCGACTGCCTGAATTCCTTTTTGCTGAATCAGGTTATTTCCCCAAAAAGGGTGGACATGGTGTTCGTCAATGATGAGTTCTGCGTGGATATTTGGGTGGGAGAGTACCGCCTCAATGGCACCGAGTGTTCGATGATGCATTCCGCTCATACCGTTGTAGGTATGTGTGGCACGTGTTACACCAGCTTCGATTGCTGCCATCGCTTGTTGATATGTAGCATTTGTGTGTCCCATTGCGATGACGATGTCGTTGTATGCGTCTGTCTTATAGGCTGCGAGGTGCTTGATAAATTGGAAATTTTCATCGTTTTCGGGTGCGACAGAAATTACTTTCAATGTGCCGTCGGAGGCTGCCCACATTGCATGAAATTCTTCAAAGTTTGGCGGTGTAATATACTTCGCGTTCTGTGCGCCGTTTTTGGCGAGACTCCCGAATTTCCCTTCAACATACGAACCAATAATCTGTGAACCGTCCGCTACTGGCTCGTCAACGACGTGGGCAATAGCAGTTAAGGCACTGTTGATCTGTTCCATGCTGCCGGAGGAGATGCCTAACACCAACGAGGTGACACCACTGCGTGCATGTGCGCGTGCGATTGCGGCTATGTCTTCGACCTCGCCTGTCATTGTATCATAACCGCCACCACCATGCACTAATCCATCGATCAGCCCTGGAATAACAAGACATCCTGATGCGTCGATGACCTTTCCCGATGGTTGAAGCGTCCCTGTCGTTATCTCTGAAATTGTGTCGTCTTGAATGACGATGTTCCCCTGTCCGTAATGTGTTGGGGTATAGATATCGCCATTCGTAATTGTCAGTGTTTCCATATCTCCGAGAGTGCCTTAAATTTCGTTAAATCTGTTCCGATACCCACAAAATACTTTGCGCGAGAAATCGTAGGAAGGGTTCTACCTCAAAATCCTGCTGATGCCCCAATGAAGTATAGCAGACGCGACCGCCATTATGTAAGCGTGTCCATGCTACGGGTTCTGAATGTTCATCAGTATGTCCCATCAGAAGTAAAGATGTATCATCGCGAATTGATGGATTTTTGTAAAGACTCCCATAACTATCAAATGCCGGTATATCCTTCAGAATTGGATGTTCCGCCTCGACGATCTCTACACGCGTAATCGGTCCATGACCGTAATGTCCTTGATAATCTCCACCGAGAACATCTTTGTCAAACGCAAGCCAGTTTTGGTAAGCGTGACTGGTAGTCCTGACTCCGATGACCGGTCTGCCTTGTTCACAGTAGGCTTGAAATCGCCTGAGGGACGCGCCCTCTGTATTGAGACGACGCGTGAAAACTAACAGAGCATCTGCGTCATCCAACGCCGCCAAAGATGGATCATCATCTTCTGAACTATAGACGATTAGATTTGTTTTGATCGGGTAGTGTTTTTCAACAAACTGCTTGAAAATGATCAAAGATGCTTCCGAGTCGTATTCAAAAGAACCTGAGAGCATACAAAGGTTAAGCACTGATTTGTTCCTTTCTATCTTCTTTTTAAAAACAGAAAACTGTAAGGGTAAGGATTTTTCTCGTCAGGTTCGCCGTCAATACGTTTGACTTCTTTCCACGCTGCTATGTCAAATTCGGGAAAATAGACATCGCCTTCAAACGTAGCATGAATCTGCGTGATATAGAGCCTGTCCGCGTGCGGTAAAAAGGCTTGGTAGATAGGCGCACCACCGCATATCATGAGTTCTTCTGCTTCCTGAGAGCGTTTAATAACTTCTTCTACGGAGTGGGCAACGATACAGCCTTTCGGTGCCTTGTAAGCCGTGTTTCGCGTGAGAATGATGTTGCGCCGCTTGCCCAAAGGACGTTTGAGGGTTTCAAAAGTCTTGCGTCCCATAACGACGGGCTTACCCATGGTCATGTCGCGGAAATGTCGTCGGTCTGCAGGCATCTGCCATGGGATGTCTGGTCCATTGCCGATAAGCCGGTTTTTGTCCATCGCGGCGATCATGGAAATTAACATTTTAGGGTGCTGTTCCCTCTTCTTGTTCTCCGATTTTTATCCCGTTCAAGACTTGTTCAGCAAAATGGATGACTGTCTCTTTTAACATACGTGGTGCCATCTTGATTTTATTTTCCTGTTTCCACTCCATCTTAAATTGTCCTGCCTTCACGAGTTCATCAATTCCTGCTTGAACAGTTTTCTCATCGGTTTCAAAGTGTTCAGCGAGTTCATGAAGGCTTAAAGGTTCCTCAGTTTGAAAGGAGAGTACTTCAATCCAGAGCCACATCCCGAGCCGCCGCGCGAAGTGTGAGAGATCCTCGGCTGTATCCGACAGATGGGTGATTGATGCGAAACAGTAAGCAGCGTGGTGTGGGTAATCGCTTAGCAGTTCTTCAAATTCCTCAAAAACAAGCCGAATAAGGAACGCCGCTTCCTCTGATAGTGTCAATTCTTCGATGTCCAAGTGGTTACCGTTCTGTTCTGGGTCACCGAAATTATATTGGTTTTGCTTCTCCTGTTTCATGGTCTCCTTTGAATACTGTCTTGTAGATCCCCGTTGTAGCGGTGCGGAGTTTCTTAGTTTTATTCAACTAAAGTTTGGACGATTCCGGTCTGTTTCCTGCTGAGTCCTCAAGTATTTTCTATTTTCTGCGAGTTTTTCACGGGGTCATAATGCGGAGAAAAAGAATTTCAGATGCCAACAAACGTAGCCCCAGCGGGGCGGAATGTTTATAGAAACGCGGGTCCACTCCCCCTTCTTGGTTTCCCCAGCGGGCGAGATGTGTAAAGTATTTTTATTGAATTCAACCTATCACACGCAGAGTAAAAAAATTGTCCAAACTTTAGTTTGTTTAAGTGTAAAGTAGAAAATACAGGTCACAGTCTCGAAAATGAACAAAGCAATTTCGATATTAGTCGGAAAAATTAGAATAAACACGGAAATATGCGATGAAAATCTCAGGGGTACTTCCGAGACCTATGCAAACAATTTTTTCATTCGGTTTCACTTCTTTGATTGAAAGCCTCTCCGTCCAATTATCTGGAAGTCCACGACCTTCCATCCACATATCACTACGACTATGTCCACGCGTCCATTTGAACCATGTTTTTTCAGATTTTTCAGGTCTATGCCAATACACAGTAATCCTGTCACCGGATCGGAAAGCTTTCGCGTTAGTGAAATCACCGGGTTTTTTGTCAATATTGATATGCTCTTTACGTCCAAGGTATGTCATATACGTAGATTGCGTTTTCGGAAGTTCCTTGTGTGATTGCCTCATAGGGTTAACCCAAATATGAAAAATTGCCAAATCATCAAGTCTGGTCATTCCCTTGATTTCAAGCGTTTCATGATTTTTGGCAAAATTGATAGGGAGCATCTGTTTCTCGTGCAACTCTTCGTCATCAATGTCGAATTCCAAGATGTTGTCCTTGAGTTCAAAGTTGGTGATTTCTGCGTTCTCTTCCAAAACCCAATAAATTGTAATCATGTCCCCAGATCGGAAAATAGCATGCTCATTGGATTGTCCACAACCTACAAGTATCAGGGCAAGGCAGACGATCAGAATTATCTGTATTTTCATGTTTGCCTCCTATCCAACATTGTGTTTCACCGTAGAATCTCAGCGTTCTATTGCTTGGATTCGGGACACTTGCAGATTTTAGGTAATCATCAAATTTGGATCCTCGTGTTTAAGTTTAAGAATATATTCTCTAAGAAGTTGTTCTAACAATCGAAATTTCAACGGTCTGTGATAATCCCATCGTTAGACGGTTGTTCCACCCGAGGTTCAATTGTCAATTCGGCGATAGCAATTCTATTGCCAAGGTTCTTTACTTCCTCAATTTTGACTGTTTCATCGGGGGCAAGGTCTTTGAGCAGAAAACGGAGGTTCCGCAGCATTGTATTCGAATTTGTCTCATACTTTTCCAGAATCAAGATGGGATGTCCGCTTTTTTCGTCAGTGATTATTTCCTCGTATTCAATGGTGTTCGTGCGCGTAATCTTAACACTGCCGATATTGATTTTAAACCCCATTGATGATGAATCTGTGTTACCTTGGAGTCGGTAGTAAGCCATGATTTTGTCCCCGAATCTGAATGCCCCTGAATTTTCAAAAGGTTCGGGTTTCTTACGGGAGTTAGTTATTTTGAAACCGTCGTAGAACCTGTGGGAGGAAAGTTTTATGAATTTTGACACTTTATATTTTGTGTCAAATGCTCTTAAATGGATGACAGCGTAGTCGTTGATTCTATTTTTCCCGTGGATTTCAAGAGTTTCGTCAGGTTCGACGACTTGGAATAGTCGGCGTTGAAGTTGGATTACGCGTGGCACAATCTTTTCACCTGTGTCAATGTCTATATGCAGTACCTTATTATCGACTTTAACTTCAGCAATTTCAGATGTATCTGGTAAAGGAACAAACACAGTAATGAGGTCACGACTTCTAAAAATGCCGTATCCACCGTTGGAATCTCCACAACCTGTGAGCATTACTGCGAGGCTTATAGTGAGAAGTATCAGTCCTTTTATTTTTATCATCATCTTGATTTTCCTATTAGACAATCATAGGTGCGCGAATTGCGTCGTGATGTTGATAATCCTCTAACTGCATGTGTTGCATCTTGAAAGCATCAATGGATTTAATTTCCGTATTCAAAATAAGTTGTGGGAGCGGGTAAGGTTCCCGTTTCAATTGCATTTCGACAGCTTCAAAGTGTGCGTGGTAGATGTGGGCATCACCTAAAGTATGAATGAATTCATAAGGTGTTAAATCTGTTACCTGAGCTACCATGTGCAGAAGAAGCGCATACGAGGCGATATTAAAGGGAACACCTAAAAACATATCACAACTCGGCTGATACATCTGCAGCGACAACTTGCCGTCTGCTATAAAGAATTGAAAGCACATGTGGCATGGTGTCAATGCCATCTCATCTAAGTCCGCCGGATTCCACGCCGTAACAATATGTTTACGACTATGCGGGTTGATCTGGAGTTGTTCAATAACTTTGCCTAACTGATCAATTGTCCCCTCTTCCGTTTGCCATTTTCGCCACTGAACACCGTATATCCGTCCAAGGTACCCATCACGACCCCAAGCATCGGCGTTTGCGTTCCATATCTGTGTCCCGAGTTTCTCAAACTGCTCAACGTGATCATAGCCGCGCAAGAAACCTAAGAGTTCTGCTTTCACGGAACGGAATGCGAGTTTCTTGGTGGTTACGGCAGGAAATCCTTCTTCCAGATTATATCGCATTTGCATGCCGAAGATTGCGCGAGTCTTCCCATTTCTGCCCTCTCGATCAACGCCAGTGTCTAATATTTGTTGCAGTCCTTTCAAGGTATTGTTTCATGCCTACTGATTACCAGCACTTGTTACTGGCATTCCTCCTATGAACACACTCTGGAAGCACAAGGCTACCGATCTGTGCTGCCAAACCCGCCTCTTGAAGCGGCGGACATCTGTTCAACCTCGTTCCATTCTGCTGTATCCACACGGACAAAAATCCCTTGCGCAATCCGACTGCCTCTTTCGACGTTCACGACCTCGTCCGTGAAATTATAAACTTGGATTTTCAGTTCGTCCTCTTCGCCACAATAGTCGTTATCGACGATGCCGACACCTTGTGGCATCAGCAACCCTAATTTACGCGGTTGCTGCTTCGTAGACAGACCATTAGCATATAACCGGGGGGTGTTTCGACAACAACATTAGCGGCGATAAGGACAATAGATTGTGGGGCAATCTCTGCTGATTCTCGGCAGATAAAATCGAAGCCTACAGACCCTGATGTTTCATATTTCGGCAACGGGAGCGTCTTATCTATGCGTTTGATATTAATTTTCATAGGCATTACGGTACTTCGACTCCCGCCACTTTGCATTCTATGCGATAGACCGAGGTACTTGCTGTGATAAATAGGGTTTTCCAGTCATCATCACCCCATGCCAAGTTCGCCGCACGCTCAGGGACAAGGATAATTCCGAGGTGTGTTCCGTCGGGCGCGAAGATCCAGATTCCATCGGGACCGGTTAGATAGACATTTCCTTGGACATCAACTTTCATGCCGTCCGGTTTGCCGTTGTCGCCCTCTTCTTCACCAAACACACGATCATTCGTGATTGTGCCGTCGGGTTGTACATCAAATGCGCGCACATGCATCCGTTCGGTGTCGTTTATAAAGAGAATGGACTCGTCTGGTGAGAAGCAGATACCGTTAGGTCTGTCAAAGTCGTCAACGAGGAGTGTCAGGGTCTCGTAGTCGGCAGACAAGCGGTAGACCCCTTGAAAATCGAGTTCCTTTTCGGATTCAACCCCGTACGCTGCGCTTAGCCCGTAAGGTGGATCTGTGAAATAGATACTTCCATCGGATTTCACAACGATATCGTTCGGACTGTTCAAGCGTTTTCCCTGATAGTGCGAGGCAATTGTGATCACCTCTCCATCAGCGGTTGTGAACGATACTCGGCGGTTTGCGTGTTCACAGGCGATGAGATGTCCACCTTTATCGTAGGTCAATCCGTTTGATTTTCCAGAGGGATCGCGGAAAATCGTCATCCCGGAGTCGGCATCCCATTTCCGCATCTTATTAGCAGGAATATCGCTGAAAAGTAGGAACTGTCCTGTAGCATGCCAGAGCGGTCCCTCGGTAAATTGGCAGCCAGTTGCTATTTGTTCAATGTCTGCCTCTGGGCCAACCAAATCCAATAGTCGTGCGTCGCGTACGTCAAGTGCCATATTTTCCTTTCAAATGTTACACTGGTGTAACATCGCATATTAAGAAACTTCGTGGTAAACCACGTGCTGCCTTACTTTTAAGGGATTTTCGCTAATAGGTTCCGTCACAAAATCAATAAAGTGTAACATTTTCTGTTAGATGCCACGTAAAGGACGTTTTAGTTTTTTGAAGGGAGATGCATAGTTTGTAGGAGCAGGAAAAACCTTGACAACTATCCTTTTTAATGTTAACATACTCTAAAGTGTAGATATGGGGTTTCACGTGGCGATCGTGTGTCTTGCACACCATTCGTTAAGTAAAGAAAGTGCCTGGGGCGATTCGAACGCCCGACCTTCAGCTCCGGAGGCTGACGCTCTATCCAGCTGAGCTACAGGCACATACATAGAGGTTTCAAGAACGAAACCGGTACTAAGTTTATAGACTTCTTTAACTATTTTAACAAATTCAGTATCTTTTGTCAAGTTTTTCAGCAAAAAAATCTAAGGAGGAGTAGCACGGTGAAGCGCAAATTTAAACAATTTTCAATTTTAGCAGTTTTGGTTGTCTTTCTATTTAGTTTCGCGCCGGATATTGTAGAGAGCCGTCGCGGTGGTTTTGGCGGTGGTCGTAGTTTCAGTCGTAGTCGTAGTTCCAGTCGGCGGAGTTACAGCGCACCGAAGCGTTCCTCTAGTAGCACGCGTCGTTCTGCTACGAGCCCACGTTCATCCACACGGACGACACGCAGCACAGGCAGCACCTATAACAGAAGTAGCGCGTCAAGAACAACCGGCACACGTGCGAGTACCACAGCACGTCAGAAGCAGACCGCGACGAGCCGCGGCAAAGCGACAACGGCAACAAACCGCAGTACGACTGCTACGCGCAGCCAACAGCGGACAACAACTGCACAAAACCGAAAGCAGGTCCGTCAACTCAAAACGCAAAACCGTAGTTTGAAACGCCAAGTCCGGACAGCGAATCGTCAAACCGCACGAACACGCCGGAATCAGCGTTCTACTATTAATATCAACAACTATGGCGGCTACTACCCTATGATGGGTTATTCAATGTACAGTATGTCTGCATCCATGGCGTTTAACAACATCATGTTCGGCATCTATTTCCATGACTATTACAACCACTCGATTCGCCATAGTTACATGTGGCACTATCACCATCGCAACTATGACAGGTCGCATTGGGATGCCGAAAAACAGGCAGAGTATGAGCTCTATAAGGATTACTACGAGAACCAAGGTATTGAACAGAACCCGAATTACGTGGATCCGGGGACCAATCCCGATGAAAACTATGTGGCAAGCTATGTTGAAGAGAATCCGGATAAATTTTATGGGGATGGCGCAGAAGCTTACACTATTGAGGAGCTGCCAGATGAAGAGGCACTGAAGCAAGAACTCCTTGCATCTGCTGAAGAGACACCGACAGTGGCAGCTACCACTGCGACGACGACCTCGACGCGTGCGCCACCTGCCACGCGGACTGTTGTTGTAGAGAAGAAAACATCCGGGGCAACTTGGTTTCTCCTTATTTTCGGAAGTCTTCTCGTTGTAGGTGTAATCATGATGGTAATGTATAATAAAGGCTATTTTTAGGTGGTAGTATGGCACTATTTGGCAAAAAAGACAGTCGGTCCCTATTTGGCAGACGAAAAGATGCTACACCCAAAAAGCCGGAACGGCATGAGTTGGTTGACATTCCGATTGACAGTATGATTGAACTCTCCGACATCGTCACTTATGAGGAGACTGGAGATACTTCACACGCTTTCAAACTTGTTACACGAAAAAAGTATGAGGGCGACAGCCTCCGTCGCTATATGTATCACATTCGCGACGTGGATGAAGAGGTTGTGATCGGTGTTGATCATGTTGCAGGGACTGAGGACGAATACGAGATCTCTCGATGGCTTGTCGATGATGAATGTGAACTCGGTGATCCGCTGCCTGATGCCATGACACTCTATTTTCCAGATCCCGATAATGAAAACGAGGACATCGCTGTTGAATACGCCCGACAGGATGTTGTTACCGCAACCCTCACTGTTACGGATGCCGAAGGTGAAGAGAAATTCGATGTAGAACTCCACGAATACGCCAGCGATGACGATGAGTTTATGTCTATTGAACTCTGCGGGGATTGGTTGACTTTCTACACCGGTGTACTCATCACGAGTTCTGATATAGAAATCTACCCAGCGATGGAACCACAGTCTGGCAGCAGCTAAGTTTGTTTTCATCTATTTGTAAGGCGAGGTACTTCTGCTTTGTCTTATGTATCAGGACTTACGCAATTTACGTTCGTCTCGACTATGTTCCGCAGGGTCCCCGTGCCCTGCGTGCGTTCATGTCTGGATGGGCACGAAAGCCGAAGCCATCCATCCCAACAGCACTTTGATGCGTAAGTCCTATGTATGCTTAAATAGTAAACCTGACTGACTAACTTTTCATGTACCCCTTAGGGTATTTATGGCTGTAGTTACAGGAGGTGAGTGCAAATGAACGTCCAAGATATGACAGATGCTGAAGTTTATGAATTGGCACTTGAGATCCTTTTGGATAAACTCGGACACCTTGGGCTAATCCGGTTTTTTCGTCAGTGTAAACCGTGTACCGGTGATTATACTGCTGAACGTCAGAAGTGGATAAATGACGATACCACAGATGTCAAGACTATCGTCAGGCGAATTCAAGAGAAACAGAAACTGGTAGTGCCAGAGAATGTGAATCCAAAAAGCGTGGATGACATGTCGGACATTGAGATTTATGAGTTTGGGCTCAAGGCGATTTCACTGAAACTCGGTCCTGTTGGAATAGTTCGGTTCGTTCATTTGTTTGATGTGGACGGATACACTTACCCTCTTGATCAACTCAAACTGCCTAATACCAGTGAACGTGACCTGAAGACAATAAAAGAACCAGAAACCGAGAGCGTGTAGACGAGCAAATGCAAGTTCAGGTCAGAAACTTGAAAGTCTATCTTGATACGTGTTGTATAAATCGTCTCTTCGATCTTCAAACGCAAGTCCGAGTACAGCGTGAAACTCAAGCTATAACGCAGATTCTTGGTTATTTTGTGACAATGAGATGGAACTGGCTTAGCAGCGAGATTTTAGAGGATGAAGTAAGCGCGGACTCTGATTCGGAGCGACGCTCTCGAGTAAAGTCGGTTATGGAACATGTACATTACACGCTTTCCATAGGGGCAGAGGAAGAAACAAGGGCTGAAGAACTCGAGGGTCTTGGGTTTAGGCATTATGACGCTTTACATATTGCGTGTGCTGAAAGTGGCGAGGCAGATGTCCTTTTGACTACCGATGATAAACTGCTTAATCGAGCAACCCGCTTCCGCTCACAACTTCGCGTGCGTGTTGAGAATCCACATACATGGCTGCAAAAGGTGACTGAAAGTTGAAAATTTACCCATCAATAGTCCTAATATAGATACCTCAACGCTGTATATTAACAAGATAAATCGCGGTTACTACCAATCCAGTGCCCGTAAGGATGTTGAATGTGGTTTGGGATGTGTTAAAATGTTGGTAGGCAGATTGGAGGAGATGAAATATGAAAAACGAATTTGACAAAGAACAAGACTTATCACAGCCACCGGTGAGACTTCAAAACCGCAGCCTTGAATTGTCCGCCCGGCAGGATGAAATTCACCGGAACCTACAAGCTATCGGTCCCGAAATTGCTGCCTTTTATCGATCTGGGATACAAGTGCTACAAAGCAACGACTTGGAAACTTCTTCTTATCTCTTAGCACATATCGCTCGAGAAATTGAAGGCGGTTTAAGAGATGTTCTATCAGAAAAGAAAAAAGAGGAACTTAAATTTATCATTGACACCCCTGACGGTAACAAGTCAATCTACGAGAAAGGAAAAGAAGGTAGTTTTCAGTTGGCGGTCACTGTCCCCGGTAACGTCACAGTGACTTACAACCAAATCGGCAAACATAAACCCTCAATTTTACAATCCTTGGGTGTTGATGAAAATTCGCCCATTGCTGAAAGATGGATAAATGCTGCTAAGCGTTTTGCTGAGTTTGCTCATCGTCACGGTGCATGGAAATCCCCACGAAAAAAAGAAGCGTTTATTCCGCTCTGGCATGAATTTGAGAATGTCTTGGCGGACTTAGTAGGTAACCATTTTAATCTCCTTAACAGAATAGATCACATCCTGAGCAATAAACCAACAAAAGAAATCATAAAAACGCTGCCTAATCTATTAGCATCCGAAGTCAGATACACCTATTTCTTTAATAAACTGGACTCTCCGGCCTGGCTGAAAGACCTAAAAGATGCAGGATGGTTTGATCCGGGGAATCAACCTATTCGTCAAGAGATGCCTGATCAACCTGAATACTACTGTTCTTCTGTTTGGCATGCTTTGAAGTACGTGGAAAAAGTTGCCAATCACACTCAGGAGGCACCTTGTGAGAAAACTTTCAACATTCTTGCTAATATTGTAAACACCATCGTTAATTACACCAATGACACTACGGCAAGCATAACAAGCGATCACACGGATTGGCGGGTCATCACAATTATTTGTACCCTTCCTATAGAACAAATAGAGTCTCGGCACATAAAGTTTGTTGGCACTTCCCTCAGATCTAAATCGGGATCAACTTTAATGGACAGTGCAATAGGGGACACCGTCTTGCCCAAACTTCTTAATGGAGGTGCCAAAGAACTAACCCTCGCGCTGCTTGAAGACATGCTCGATGCCGAAGTCATACATGGTGACGTAAGGACTGTTATGGATGAGTACTGGCTATGGGATGCCCTCCAAAAAAACGAACAAACTATCGAAGAATTATGTGGAATTGAAACTGTGCAGATTGCATGCGAGCGAATCCGATCACTTATTGATGAAGGAGCATATTCATTTAATATTATATCCAAGATTGACAGTGTTCCTTCCGATTATCCTCTCCGACATTATGCCGATCTATTGGTTGGTTTAACCTCCGGTTTGTTACGCTCTGTCAAATTTGATAATGACATTGAAAAAATGGTAAAGGATATGCTACAAGAAGGGATGGTAGTAAGTTGCAATGACCCTGTGAAAAGAGGATCCCTAACTATTTTCGGACGGATTGCCCTTACCGCTATTACACATCATTACGAGAATTTAAAACATCTGTTTTGGGAATGGCAGGGAAACCCGCTTGAAAGTATTAGGCTGAAGCCTGAACTTTATCAATTGATTCAAACCAACTGTTGTACCTTTGGGGAGTCCGGAATTGAGCGGATATTGGACTGGATAGAACGTGCTCAGTACATGGTGTCTGCTGATGATTTTGAAACTCGCGAGAAAGTTATAGCTTACAGAAAGCGAGAGTGGTTATCTGCACTCATGGAAACAGGCAACGAGGAAATTGTCTCTGCCTATCAGCAGTATGAGCAGATTAACCCGGCAAAACTTGAACATCCTGGCCTTTTGCGGTGGACGGAAGTTGGATGGGGATATACCAGTCCTATAATGGTCGATGTCTTATCTGGTATGTCAAATGCACAAATTGCTGAGTTCCTTAATGATTTTAAACAAGATGGAATAGTGGGCCCGTCAGAGCCAAGTGAAGAGGGTTTAAGAGAAGTGCTTGAGGAGTATGTAGCAGCGAATCCACAGCAGTTCACAGATGATTTACACCCCTTCTACTGTGTCCAGCTTCAGTATCAATATTCGCTACTTCAGGGATTCCTAAAAGCCTGGCGCGATCAGAAGAAGTTCAATTGGACACCACTGCTGGAATTTATCCATCACATCCTTACATCAAAGCGGTTTGGGGTAGATGAATATAAAACTGGATTTAACTATACGGATTGGATTCTTTCTACCACTGCGGAATTGATAACATCAGGGACAGTTGATGATAACAATGCATTTGATGCTCAGCTCTTGCCTCTTGCTGAGAAGGTTCTCTTGGTTTTGGCGGAAAAGGTTAAATCAGACAGGGAGACCGACGCAGATGCTCCTATCACTGTTCTGAATTCGACTCCAGAAAAGGTGTTCTCGGCGATGGTAGACTATGCTTTACGGTTTGCTCGGACTAACAAGACCGAAAGTGAGATCCGATGGTCTCAAACCATCAAAGCGAATTTCACTAAAAGGCTTGACCGTCCCCTTGAATCCTCTTTTGAATTCTCATTTACCCTTGGTGCTTACTTGCCAAATCTGATGTACCTTGATAAGGAATGGGTTGTTGGTAATATAAATCGTATCTTCCCACAACAAGATGAATATCATTGGCAAGGGGCTTTTTCAGGCTATTTGTACAATTCTCATATCTATGCGGATCTCTATTCTCTGCTTAAGGAACACGGACACTATCGGAAGGCACTGAATACTGATTTTGCTGATAAAGAGGTGCCTCGCGGGCTTGTTGAACACATCTGTACAGGTTGGGTAGAGGACGACGAAACCTTAAACGACAAAACCAGCCTAATTTATCAGTTGATAAACAGTGAAAATCCAAACCACCTCTCACACTTGGTTCATTTTTTTTGGCGACAAAGGGGTAACCTACCAGAAAAGATGAAGGCAAAAGTCAGACCAACTTGGCATACCTTGTATGAATACCTTTCTCAAAGGGACGACGTAGAGAAATATAGAGAAGTTTTATCTCGACTATCAGGATGGGTGGCTCTCGTTGATAAAATAGATGCGGAAGTGCTGAAATGGCTAAAAATGTCTACGCAGTACATCAAAGGAGTTACCGATTCTGCATTTTTCGTTGAGGCTTTGCTAAAGCACGTCAGCAAAACACCAAAAGAGGTGGCTGACATTTATCTGGAAATGCTAAGACATAACATTTATCCGTATCATCATGATCATCAATATATCCAGCAAATCGTCCGTGTTTTATATAGCACGGGACACACGAAGGTTGCTGACCGGATTTGCAATATATACGGTGCAGCCGGATTTGACTTCTTAAGATCTCTTTATGATGAAAATCAGAATTGAGATAATGAGGAGCAGCCTGCGTGAATTATTTCTGGTTAGATGCAAGTGCAGTGGTCAAACGGTACATTACCGAACCAAATGGAACGCCTGAAATGCGATATTTCTTTGATAAAGTGCACCCAGAGCGAATGATGATTTGCAGACCTGTCACTGTTGGTGAGGTCATATCAATTTTTGTCCGGCGCAAAAACGACCGACAGATCACTACAGCAAATTTTAATCAGATAAAACAGTTGTTTGACACTGAAATCAGTCAGCAACCTGATGTTGTAAAAGTGTACCCAACTAACAGTCAGACAGATGACTCAGTAGGATTCATTGAGCCTTACTCTATCAATAGTGCTGATGCTATCATTCTGCAATGTGCGTTGGATAGAGCTAACAAACTGCGTCCATCTGGAAATGATTTGATTTTGGTCTGTTCCGATAAACGCCTATTGCGAGCAGCACAAAGTGAAGGGTTACGCACATTCAATCCTGAAACCGATAGTCAAACTGCCTTAGATGTCCTTATCAGTTCGTTGTAATTTGCACACAGCTCCAATGGCGGTGCCCGTTATATAGTAAAGCGGGATAATACTTGCTCACTTTTTGGTGCGACGGGCAATGAATTGCCCTACTACAAACACCCCTCTGTTAAGGGAAAAGTGTCCAAGTAATTCCAAAATCTACTATATCATGCGCGCTTTCTTGATTCCCGATTTCACCGCAGAAATAAAAAGAAACGATTTGACATCCGCTTTGGTATAAAGGAAAATAAAGTTCAAGAACGCCGATAAAGGGATTTACAGAACAAACAAATAGAGAGGAGAACCTTATGATACCGCCTATCACGAAACTGCTCATAAAACTTGAACAACTTGAATGGGATTTAGCAGCAGTGAAAAAGGAGTTAGAAGCACTTCAAGCCCCTTTCATGAAATAGTAAAACCCACAATTAACTTTACATTGGCGAGGTTAGGAAACCTCGCCAGCGAGCGGGTGTATTCGCGGAATTGTTGCTCTTTAAAGTGTAAACATATTTTCGGGTTTTACTAAATCACTCACACCTGAGGACCGTGCAGCTGCGAGGTCTGCAAGAATTCGGGCAAAAAATAACAGACAGCGTTCATTACGCAGAAAACGCGATCCCGAAGTTAAAACCCTCACCGCTGAAGAACTTCAGCAGCTTTCTCTTGAGGAGGGGATAAACCCCGAGGACAATCTTTTTAGTCGTGCTATTATTGAAGAGCGCGAAAAATAACACTTGTGGGTTACTTCTTTTCAACGCCGCATATTTACCAGATAAATCCCGCCTGCTACGAGAACAGCACCGACGAGCAGACTGAACGTGAGTTCATCACCTAAGATAAGGTAGCTAAACACAACACCCGACAGCGGCGTTGCGAAGAAAAGCACGACCAATTTACTCGCACTATATCTCTCAAGTATCGAAGTCCACGCCAAAAAACAGAAACCGGCGATAACACCACCTTGATAAAGGAGTGCAGCAGTACTTGAAAATGTCAGATGCATCGGTTCGCCGCGCTCAAACACAAAACTCAATACAGCATAGCACGGCAGACTCAAACTTAAATACCAGACCAAGAGTCGGTACGGGTGAATGGATTGAACGAGCAGTTTTGTCACGACGACGCGTAGCCCCAAGAAACACCCGCTGATGAGAACAAGGAGGTCGCCGAGGATGCTCGTTTCACCATCGCCAAGGTTCGGGGCGACGGTTATGAAAACACCACTGAAGGCAACAATAATCCCCAATGTCTTTGTAACGGAGAGTCGTTCCGTCGGAATCCAGAGGTGCGCGAATATTGCTGTAAAAAAAGGGTAGACGTTGATGAAGATAGTTGAGCGAGATGCGGTTGTGAACAGTGTGCCGGTGTTTAACGTGATGATTTGAAGTATGAAGATTGTCGTGAGGAGCAGCAATCGCGGAAGTTCGCCACGGCGCAAACCGAGTGAGACACGGCGAAAGAGCGACCAACCGCCAACAACGACGAGACCTATTATAAAGCGGAGGAACGCCAACGCCATCGGTGGGAAATCTTGCAAGCCGATTTTGATTGAGGGCGAATTCCCACCCCAGAGAAACGCGAGGAGAAAACCGAGGGCAATAATTTTCCCCCGTGGCTCCTCGCTGATGACTTTTGGTCTTGGCGATGTCCCGGTAGTCTCGTTTCTATTCAAAGGAAACTGTTATCCTCATTAAGTTGTCGTTCTCTGAGGGGTTTTACCATCAATCATAGGCACCCGGGCGATGGTTGCCCATTAAGCGTTGCTGGCGTTCTGTCGCCTGCTCCAAAATCGCTGTATCGAACTGGAACCGGTTCAGGTAGGGCGGAAATTTCTGGGTTATCATCCGATTCGCGTAATGCACTTGTAATAGATAGCGGGTCTGGTCGCTACGATTCGCAGTGCCTCGGTGCCAAACTTCGCTACGGAAAATCACGACATCGCCACTATTACAGAGGATACTCTTTTCTTGTGCGCCTTTCCATTCGGTTTCGCCATCGGGTCTCCGTCCGGAAAGATGGCTACTCGGAACGAACTTTGTTGGACCGAGGTCTTCATAGAGGTCATCCAGATAGTAGTGAGCAGTTGAGATGAAGATCGGGACCTTGACGCGCGGATCTTCCAAAAGGTCTGCTGGAAGAGCAATAGGCAGCCAATCTATATGCAGTCCTTGATCCGGTCGGCCCGGACCTGTTACCCAAGCCGTCATACCGATGACGTGGCAGTCAGCACCGTGAACCCCTTCTGCTAATTCAATGACCGGCGATTTGTCGAGGTAATGCAGAAACACAGGGTCGCGATTGAAGGCATTATTGATATGTTTGTTAAGGAAACCGCTTCCGTTCTCAGGCAGGCTGTGTCGGTCAAAACTTTCAGGGTTCGCAGTTAGCCGATCCATTGCATCGCGAAGTTCAGCGAGTTGGGCATCGTCAATAACCTTTGGTAAATAGGCGTAACCGTCTTCCTCCATCGCCTTGACTTGGTTATCGAGGTCAGGGTAGGCTACGAGAGGTAGGGCTTGGCTCATTATCTTCTTCTCCTTTTATAAAAATAAAGTGAAAATAGAATCTCCTACCTGTGTATTTTACAACTTTCGAGGCTTGATGTCAACTTTTTTTCCGAACAATTCGTTAACAAAGTGCATCCAAAAGAGTGTAAAAAAGAATAATAGTTACCACAAAAAGGAGAAATAGAAATGAAAAATGTAAATGTAACGCCCGAAACCCATGAATCTGTAAAAAATGTCGATACTAAAGATCCTGGTATCCGTGTGCTGGGGGTCGTACTGGAATCCTTACCGGGTAACTTGTTTCATGTGAAGTTAGAGGAGAACGATCACAAAGTTGTGGCGTACCTTGCTGGGAAGTTGATGCAGCACAGAATCTGGGTGCTTCCCGGCGACCAGGTTACCCTTGAACTTTCTCCTTATGACCTAACGCGTGGACGCATCGTCTGGCGGAATCCCGGCGTTTAGACGAAGTCTTGATAGGTGCGCGGTTTCATGGCGAGTTTTAACTGTGTTTAACAGCGTGCCTTCTGTTGGCCAAATTGATTTCAATGCATATTTAAAAATTACCATGCTTCCGCAGGTGAGTCTAACTATGGAAGGAATTGTCATAAAAGCGAGTGGTGGTGCCTACGAGGTACAAGTTGGCAAACAGTGTTATACCTGTGCCTTGCGGCACCACCTCATTGAAGATGAAAAACGGCGGCTTGCTGAGACGAAAGAGATGCCGTACGTGGATTTAGTCGCAGTTGGTGACCGCGTCCGCGTCTCAACACCGGTGTCCGCAGAGAACAATGGGTACATTGAGGAATGCCTCCCCCGCGAAACCCAGTTTGGACGTATCCGCATGGACGGTTGGCGGCAAGTCATCGTCGCTAACCTTGAGATGTTGCTCATCATTTTTGCTGCCCGGCATCCGACGCTCAAACTGCGGATGCTTGATCGGTTCCTCGTTACAGCAGAGGCATCTGATGTTGAACCCGTTATCTGTATCAACAAAATGGATTTGGCAAAATTGGAGAATGTACAGCGCGAACTGAAATTATATGAAGAATTAGGTTATAAAGTGGTTTATACTAGTATCGTTACGGGTCTCGGTGTTGATGGATTACGGGAAGTGATGCAGGATAAGATTTCAGCGATTGTAGGTTCATCAGGGGTTGGAAAGTCATCTCTCCTGAATGCATTGCAACCAGGGCTCCAATTGCGCACAGGTGAGGTGGACACGCGTGTCCACAAAGGACGGCATACGACAACGGAAGTCATGCTGTTACCGCTTGCGTTCGGTGGGTTTGTAGCGGATACACCCGGCATTCGGACACTTGGTTTGCTTGAAGTTGATGATGAACAGGGAATGGATATCCATTTTCCTGAGATGCGACCTTATATTCCAGACTGCAAATTTGCCGCGTGTACGCACCAACACGAACCCGCATGTGCTGTCAAGTGGGCAGTTGAAACTGGTAATATCAATCCACTCCGATATGAGAGTTACCTCCGGATCTCTGGATTCAAGGAAGGGAGATATGAACGAAACACAGATAAGAGAAGAGCGGAGCGAAACCCGAGACGACGCAAACGCTGATCTTGAGAAGTGGTCGGATGCTATTAACAACTTGCTACGCATTATTGAGAGGAGTGAGCAGAAACTTGGATACTTCCAGAATAGAGTGAAACAGGCGAAATTCATGGATAGTCCGAATCAGCGTAAGGTTCGTGCCGCGGGGTCCCAAATTGGTGCGCACTCTGCACAATTGGAGGGTCTACGCAGCGAATTGCGACAACTGGAACGCCTTTACAGTGGCGGCATTTCCCTTCGGCAGACTACAGAGAATGAACTTCGTCAAATTTGGGGATGGATCAACCGACCGGGCATCAGGAATCTTCTCTATGCTGAACGGGTATCGTTTGAGACATTTCTGGAGGATTGGCACCATTGGACGGCAGACAAAGATATGCATACGCTGGCTATTAAAATCCGTACCACACGTCTTCTTATCGGATTTATTCTTCTCCAATGCGATGCGGACACGGTTACTGTTAAATTCGTCATCATTCGACCCGATTATCGCGCGCGCGGATACGGCTCCGACACACTCATTGAAACCGTCCGTTACGCGTTTGAGGGACTCGGTGCTAAGCACGTTACGCTGCAGGTATCGTCCGACAATGGACCTGCGCTCACCTGCTTCGAGAATGCGGGGTTCCAATACCTTAGTTACACCGACATGACGCGGCAGACTTACACAATGGGCATTGAACGTAGTGAATGGGCAGGCGATAAACCGGTAGATGAACAAGATGTTGCGCCACAGTTGAGTGCTCCACTCAAATTGTTTTTCGACTCCGAGGAGTGATTTTCATTTTTACATGAAAATGTAATGTACATTCGATGAAAAGGGGCAGAGGATAATACTTCTCTGTCCCCGATTTTTTTAAGATGACCGTAGTGTAATTCTGTTAACTTCCAAAAGTGCATCCGAAAATGTGTAAATATAGTCAGACTGCATAACTTGCCTTAACATAAATTGTTTATAGTAAAACCCGAAAATAAAAGGGCACTTTGGAAAACACAAAACGCCTCTCCTTCGCTGGCGAGGATTGTATCCTCGCCCTTGCGTTGGTGTATAGGTAATTATGGGTTTTGCTATAATTTTCCTTTCTGCCTCCGAACCCATGATAATACTAAGGAAATTATTGATATGAGAACAGCACTATTATTTCACTTTACGCTTATCCTCTTGTTTACGACTGCTCTTTTTCTACCGACTGCTCCTGCCCAAGATTACACCCGATGGCATCTCCCTGAGGGGGCTATAGTGCGCTTTGAGAAAGGTGGAATTGGCGATTTCGCGTATCTTCCAGATGGAAATCGGATCGCCATTCAGAGTTCAATCGGTCTCTGGATATATGACACCCGGACAGGAGAGGAACTGGATCTATTCACAGACTTGGGAACGAAATTGAGGTGGAATCTCATGGTTCTCAGTCCGGACGGCAGGACGCTTGCTGCTGCAACTGATTATGAAGTAGTCTTATGGGATCTACAAGCTAACAAACTAAATAAATTACTTATCGGACACAAAGACAGGATCTATTCGTTGGCGTTCAGTCCGACTGGAGAGATACTCGCTGGTGGAAGCCGGGACACCACAGTTCGACTATGGGATGTTAACACCGGTGAGTTGAAACAAACCTTCGTAGGACACACCGATATGATCCGTCTGGTCGCGTATTCAAATGATGGAAAGACGCTGGCGTGCGTTAGTTGGAAGGACAATACAATTCTTATTTGGGATGTGGATACTGAAGAACTCCTAAAAGCCATTACTGGACACACCGAGCGCATCAATAGTATCGTATATGCTCCTGATAGTCGGACACTTGCAAGTGGAGGACGGGATTCCAAGATTCGTATTTGGGATGTTGGCACTGGAAAACTCCTGAAAACCTTTATTGGACATACAGATCGTATCCGTTCTATGATCTATTCGCGGGATGGCGCGACACTTGTGAGCGGAAGTTCGGATGATACAATCCGTATGTGGGACATCCGCTCCGGTGAGACCCTAAAAGTTCTGAAGGGGCATACAAACGACGTTGATTCTTTGATGTATTCACCAGATGGAGAAACCCTTGTCAGTAGTGGAGACGACGGGACGCTCCGCTTTTGGAATGTCCGCACCGGGGAACTCCTGAAAACCTTTACTGCACATGGATTTGGAGCGAGGTCACTGGCTTTTTCACCAGATGGCAGTACACTCGCTATTGGAAAAACAGACAGGACAATTTTGTTACGAGATCTACAGAGCGGACAAATAGTGAAGACTTTTGCTGGACATACAAACCGTATGCTTTCGGTGACTTTTTCACCGGATGGCAGCACACTCGCAAGTGGGAGTTGGGATGGCAAAATCCGTTTTTGGGATGTCCACACGAGCAAACTCCTTAAGACCATTACTGGACACACGAAAGGAGTGCATTCTATCGCCTATACACCGGATGGTAAGTCCCTTGTGAGTGGGAGTTGGGACAATACAATCAATTTGTGGTATGTTGACACCGGACATCTCCTGCAAACGATCACCGGGAATACAACGGAATCCGATTCAAGCATCGGGGTCAGAGCCATTGCGCTCAACCCTGATGGACAAACGCTGGCTGTGGCAACTGACGAAGAGGAAATCCGGTTATGGGATATACCCACGGCCGAAGTCAAAACAACCCTCACGGGACATACGCATAGAGTTGCTGCTATCGTATTCTCTCCAGATGGCACCATGTTTGCAAGTGGTGGTGAAGGCAGGGGCATCTGTTTGTGGAATGTGCACACTGGGAACTTTACTACGGACTATTGTAAAAGGCAAGAGCGGCGATCTATGGTATCGCCTTCAGTCCAGACGGACAAATAATTGCAAGCGCGAGTTCAAAGACGATTGAATTGTGGAATCCATTCACTGGCAAACATATAGGGACTTTCACCGGATATCCGGGTTGGATTCAAGCAATAGCGTTCAGTCCGGATGGTCAAACACTTGCAAGCGGTAATAACGGGACGGTTATTCTATGGGATATGAACCAGATTCCAGTTCCAGAGCAATAGTGTCTTGAAAGGCAGAGCAGCAACGCTTTTCTAACAGAATTTCTGTGATATTGGTAGACTGAATGGACTTGAGTTATTACATCTAATGAGTTTTGACGTTCAAGTTGGGCAAAACAGGTCCCCTTATCTGTTTGTTTGGATGGCTTCGGCTTTCGTGCCCGAACAAACATACGCCTCACAACATTACCCATTTTGAGGGTTAAATTTCATTAGAAAAACGAAATGTCCATGCCAATGGAGAAAACAGTGATAAACTTTTGTAACACGCTAAGGAGTTCGTCAAGTGTGCGGGTGCATGTGCATTGGGAACCGATTGCGGATGCCACGTTTAATATGCACAACGATTCACCAGAACTCGCTGAGGTGTTTGATCTGTCACCACGCCACCCCGTCAAAGAATACGGAGCAGAGGATTTCAAGGTGTTTCTTCCACTTTCAACTGTAGCCGTAGGTGATGTATGGGCACTTGATCCGAACAGTATTGTCCCTTTCCTTTATCAGTTTCACCCGGGGGCAAGGGCTGATTTAGGGAACGGTGAGGAGGGTGCCTATGCTTGCTTACGGGCATGTTCATCAGATTATGCGGAGATCGTTTTCCGAGTACATACCGAATTTACATTAGGGAGTGATACCTATCAGGAATGGCAACAAGAAAACGCTGAAGAGGGTTGCGAACCGGAATCCGAAGCCACGTTTATCCCATCGCAATATGTCGGACAGGTGTTGGTAAATCTGAAAAAAGGAACGATTCGCGCGTTTTCGTTGGCACTACCAGCACGCAATAGCAATGTTGACATCAACGCCTGTGGTGGTGCTGATATGGTCTTTGTGCCGCGTATGGAACTCCTCGCAGCGGACGAGACCGACCAAGATGAAATCGCGTGGAATATTTCTATCACGGTGGAAGAAGCACGCCGCTCATTAGAATTGAAGTTCTACAAATTCGCGGAGATTGACTGGGTGCCGATTGAGAGGGCAGTTGAACTTGCGAGTACAGCACGCCGACCGATTCATGCGGTCCTTGTTTGGGGGTGCTTAGACGATGAATCTTGCTGAGCGAACGGCAAATATTTGCGGGCGGGTCCGCTCTCCGATTCAGAAGTGATAAAGACGCTCAACGAGAAGTTTATCAATACGTGGGTGCTCCTCAGGGAATTACCTGGACTGATAGGCGGGTCAAAAGGCGAGATGACGAGTCTTGTCGCTAAAAAAATACAACAACATTACACCGACTCTGTGGATATTCTGGTGTTCACTCCCGATGCGGAAGTCATTATGCATCAGCCGGAGTCGGCACTGCCTTACAAGAACCAGTCGCGAGCATACCTAACAGTGCTAAAGCATTCTGTGGAAACGTTTGAAGGAAGACGCACTCGTGTAGGAAAGAGATCAAGATTAGATGGAAATCCGATCGGCTTGGGGACGGCGTTGATGGACGTTTTACATATTTATGGCACATCCAGTACCGACACTCCAGATGACACGGTTGTTAAAATTGATACGACACCGTTTGAATCTGGTGGGATACTCCATATTGAGATACAGGTAGGGGCAGGCGAGTCGGCAGGGACGTTTGAGTTGTTTCATGACGACACCGAACTTCTTACAAAAGGGGATACCGATGAAGCACTGGATGGTGCATGGAATGTTTCGCCGGGTAGCATCGGGCACATCTTTCATAATTTCAGACGAGGTCAACTCTTCAAGTTGGTCGCTACGAGTACCGACAATCAAAAAGCCAATGCTTTTCGGGCGCGTGTTTCTGTTGTCCCTCATTAGGATATCTGATGCAACAAAGACATCTACCGCCAAAGTCATTCATTTGCCACAAATCACTCTTGTGGGAGGGGTTTGTAACCCCGATTCTTGCGGAATATCTATTTACACGCATGGCACATCGAAAATCGGCATTCGTCGTATAAAACTCGCGCGTTCTTGGTCTTTACCGCTCTACCCGGGGTTTCCATAGTGAACAGCGTATGGTGCCTACGGCCACTCGCGTATTTTTTATTATCGAACTCATATTGGAAATTAGGTTGTTTTTTGACCCGAAAAAAAATATTTTTACTTTTTTTTACAAAAACATGCAAAAGTGCATCCGAAAATGTGTTTAAGGTGAATCATTGTCATTTTTTAATGGCGATGGTATCCTATTGCCGCTGTATTGTGGCAAGCGAAAAAAAGGAGGTATTTGTTATGTTAGCAAACCAGAGGAGGTGTGACACTTAGTGTTACGCCCTTGTGGTGTGATACTAAGTGTCACACTCTTTGGAAAGGGACGGAGGGTTTATATCCCTCTGTCCCCTATTTTGTCCCTATTTTGAAAGTATGCTACTTTTGGGCAGGAATACGCGTTACGCGCTGAACCAGATTTTTATGGCATATTTTTGTGTTTTTTGGTATATTATTAGATTATCAGATGCAGTTTGCAAGAGGTGGTCGTTTCTGAAAGGTCATTGACCCGCTTGCACCATTTCAAACCACAAACAGAAAATAAGAAGGAGGAGGTAACCATGATGTTTAGAGTAAATTTGAGCCACGCTACATTTCATTTGAACGTATTCAGTTCAAGGCGATGGTGCCTCTGCCCATTATCATAATTTGATTGAGAATGGCATAGGCGCACTCGCCTCACACTGAGGGAGTTGCTCTATCTATGCCCAGATTTAATCCAGATTTTTGGGAGATTCCGGTCCCACCGGAATTTTTTGACCAGTTCACCACCGAAGACTATTTCTGGTATCGAGCACCTGATGACGAATATATGGAGAGGCATCGTGCCAAACGGCAGGCAGTCTTGGAACAAGTTCGTCAAATTATCGCCAAGGAATTAACCAAACGTCAAACTGAGTGTGTCCACCTCTATTTCTATAAAGGCAAAACGCAAGAGGAGATAGGAGACATCCTCGGCATTTCTCGGCGTGTTGTCAGCCAACACCTCTTTGGTGTCACGCGAGACGGGAAGCAGGTAGGCGGGGCGATTAACAAAATCCGAAAGGTGTGTCGAAAACTCGGAATAGAATTTCCATAGGTACAAGAGCCAAATCTGTATATGAGTCTAATAAGTGCCATTCAATGCGAGAGGAGACCTTGCGGGTTCCCTTTTCGCATTGAAGCACTTTATCCATTTCCTTAAATTTGGAAACGCTGAACGTACATCATGAAACGTGTTTCCACGCATTATCATCTACTGCACTAAAACCCTCCGTTTAAATTTCACCTGCGACAAGCGTTAGGTCAAGAATATTGATAACACCATCGCCGTTGATATCTGCTCGTGGATGTGCTTCATCAACTGGAGCACCGAGATTATTAGCGACAATAATCAGATCCAATACGTTAATCATACCATCTTTGTTAACATCCCATGCGGGACCTGTGAAAACCTCTTCTTCGGGAACAAATTCCTCAATAGTAATCTCAAGTTTTGGAGTTTCTGATGGTATGTCTACACCGTCGCTATCACCGAGAACACAATTACCAGGCTCAAATGTAGTTTTACCAACCTTTTTTGCTTTGAACTTGATTGATAGTAATGTTCCACTTCCGTTTATACTGCTTCCGTCTAAACGCAACACGCTGAATCCAGTAATCAAACCATTCTCATTGTCAATTTTGCCTTCCAGAAAAAAGGTAGCCGTGCCGTCAGAAGACAAGAAATCCCCCTCGACAACTTCAACTGCTTCAAGAATATCCGAATCAAAGGTAATATTACAATTCCAACCGTTGAGATTCCATGCAAAAAGTGCGTCAATATTAAAGGTGAATGTGTCCTCTACAACAATATGTGTCGCATCCGAAGTGAACACAAAGCCGTTCGGTTCGATCTTCGTGTTTTTGGAAAGTTCATGTAAAGGTGTCCAATTAGTGATTAGGTTTCTTGTAAGATCCAACCATTTGAGATTAGTTAACCCTGCCAATGGTGATATGTCTGTAATTTTATTGTTTCCTAGATTCAAACGTTCTAAGTTTGTTAGATTTTGTAAAACAGATACATCAGAGATATAGTTATCTCGTAGATATAACTCTTTCAACTTGGGCGCATTCTCTAAAGATGGAATTTCTGAGATTTCATTACCACACAAATCTATAGTCTCAATATTAGGCAGGTTTGCTAATGGCGACATATCCGTGATCGGAGGACCCCACATAAGAACACTTTTCAATTTTTCTTTTCCCGCTAATGCCGAAATATCAGTGACAAGAAAATTATGACTGAACTGTATAGACTCTAACTCCTCCATCCCTGCCAGTGGTGAAAGATCCGAAAATGGATTGCTTTCCATTCCCATAGAACGCATTCTTGTTAGTCCTGCGACGGGTGATAAATCCGACACATTATTGTTACTGAACCTAAGGTTCTCAATTTTAGTAAGATTAGCGATCGGCGTTAGATCCGATATCTCGTTATCTTCGAATACTAATTCTTTCAGATTCTTGGCATATTCCAAACCTGTTAAATCCTTAATCCCTTCTCCCCTTAATGTAAATGGAACATTTACTTCTATGTTCAGGTCCCTATACTGACTTCCATGTACTCCAAATGCAGTAAATTTTTCCATCTGTTCCACCGTAATAGGTTCATCAACAGATTGACCAAGTATTTTTGCGATTGCTACGCGTAAGTTAGAATCTGGTATATTCGCAATGTCACCCGGCAGCGAAACAATAGAGTCAACTACTGGACCCGGATTAACAGGCGTTTGTGTCGGTGGATATAACACAAACACAACAGAACTGAAGTTTGCTGTCCATGTATCTCTATTAAGATTGCCGTTTTCCACCAGTGGCACTAAACCGATCGTTTGTAAATCGGTATTCTCACCGATTTTTTGGATGAACGTCTCAGTTCCTAAGCCGAGCGCAGCCGCAGCATGTGCAGTTGTGATAGGTTTCTGAAATGCCTCGTAAAAGCGGTGTATCGGTTCAATGCCACCGATTGTGCCGCCAGTTTGTTCAAGCGCATCCTTGTAACGCTTGGCATCACCTTCAACATGCGCGTCCATCACCGATTGTTCCACATAGAGACGCAACGCTTTATCTTTGTCGTAAAGTGTGACAGGTGTCTGCTCAATCGCTTGACGGACAGTGTCCTCAAAAGTCTTCATACCGTCAGTGTGGCAGCCGATACAGGATAACCCATTCCGCACGCGTTGATCGCTGGCTGCTGGATTAGATACAATGTCAATAGGTGCTACATCCAGACGATTGCTTTTCGCATCGGACAGGTAATATGCCTGTAAGCCGTTTGGTAAACTGAACACCACTTCGCCGCCATCGTGAACGAAAGAGATTGGATGCACAAAGATGTTTTGTTTGCCAACACTACCAGCAAAATCGTAACTTTTCCAATACGCACCGTAGCTTGACGTGTGCCGTTCTACGACGCGATTGTTGCTGGACACTTTAGATTCACTAAACCCTGCGCGCCACACACGCCGTCCGGGTGCGTTTTTAAGATTGTCAACCACATTTACACCCAGTAGTTGTTCTAATTCAAAATCAGTTTCAGGCAGGTCCAGAATATCGTGATAAAGCGGCGGCAGTGAGGCGTTCGCTATAAACCAATCTATATGGATAGCCGGCACTTCGCAATTCATTTCGGTTTGAAGGTCTGTGAGCTTCTGATTTAGATTTGTCTGTTCTGGCGCGTTGAAAGCGATGTGATACGGATATTCCTGTTCAAGTTCTGCCCATGCTTCGCTTTTATCCCAATCATAATCTCGTATATCTATGTAGTAGATCGTCTGTTCTGTATCTATCGGCTGTGGATTGACTATTTGTAATTCCCACGATAGACTGTTCACCAGTTTGTTGAGGGCTATCCGATAATCGGCAAGCACATCAAGGGGTTCACCGGCATTATATAAGTGTGTCATTGAAAAATAGCGCGCATAACTGCGGTCAAATGCGTTCAACGTGTCAAGATGCGTTTTGATGGTATCCAGCATTGTGCCTTGCGTGATGAATGCGCGATCCCCGATGGTTACTGCCCAATCAGGCGCGCCCATCTCTATCCATTGGCGGATCGTTGCTATAGCCTCATCCGAAAGTGGCGGTTGTCCACTTGGCATTCGCGGTCCGTTATCTGTCGGTCCGAGTAAACGTTTGTATAACTCTGATCCGTCAGGGTTATTTGGTATAACACTACCTATTTCAATCAAGTTGTTGTATTTAATATAGAGTGTCTCTTTGAATGTGCCGGATTCACCGTGGCAGACGAGACAATTATTTTCAAAAATTAGATATGCGTTTTGTGCAACATTATTCTGCGCGTAGACAGAATGGGCAATCAACAGTCCAAATAGAACGATCCATTTTTTCATCAAGTTCTTCGGGTTGGAAACCCCTGAATTCATTTGGGGAGGAAAACCCGCTCCTATAGTTTGTTATTCCCCAAGAAGGGGACATGCCGTTTTTTCGCCACGAACATGTGGGCGATCCTCTCCGATGTACTGCTTCATGGGGTAGTTGACACCATAACCTGAAAGTATCCGCAAATCGAGTTTGGATTTCGGTGTTTAGCTGCTTCCCTTAAACCGATAGCCGACCCCATGCACCGTTTCAATATGTTTGCCGAATTCGCCGAGTTTGCGTCGAAGGCGGCTAACATGCGTATCCACCGTCCGGTCGATGCCGTAATAGTCCTGTCCCCATATCACGTCCATGAGAATATAGCGCGTGAAGACGCGTCCGGGTGACCGTGCGAATAGCGTAATGAGTTTAAATTCGGTAGCGGTCAGGTCGATTGGACCGTTCTCGGTTAGCACCTGATGTTTGTCGAGATCGATTGTGATCCCATGTGTTTCGATCCGTTTGGTGTTTTCTGTCTGTTTGCCGACTTGGATACGGCGCAGGACAGCAGACACCCGTAGTACTACTTCCCTTGGACTAAAGGGCTTTGTGATATAATCATCCGCGCCGAGCTCTAATCCAGCGACCCTATCTTTTTCTTCAGCTTTCGCTGTTACCATCACGATAGGAATATTTTTAGTCCTCGGGTCGTTCTTTAATAAGCGACAGACGATCATTCCATCTACTTCTGGAAGCATTAAATCCAGTAAGATAAGATCCGGTGTTTTTTCTACAGCCCGATGCAGTGCATCTGCGCCGTTCCGGACGTAATCTGTTTCAAAACCGGCTTCTTGTAGATTATATCGTAATAGATCCGCGATATCGCGTTCATCTTCAACAATTAAAATCTTTGCATCCATTTAAATCTTCCTTATGATTAATTTTTCATACCACATTCTATTTTAACAAATGACGCAGATAATGTCAATTTTAAGAGATATTTATTTTCCGCAATGACAAATTTTGGTTATGGCTATGATCGGGCAATGAATAGAAATGAAAAAAATAGTGAAAACGAGTGTGGAATGTGTTATTATACCCAATTAACCCCATTTGTAGCGCGAGGTCCCTGTGCCTCGCAATGCTGACTTGATCAAAAGACTTCTAATCAAGCTAATTGGGTATTATACCCAATTAACCCCATTTGTAGCGCGAGGTCCCTGTGCCTCGCAATGCTGACTTGATCAAAAGACTTCTAATCAAGCTAATTGGGTATTATTTGGTAAAACAAAAGAGGTGATGATCATTAAAATGTTAAAAGATATCTCATGTTTGGCGATACGGACTTCAAGGCTGTATTGTTATTTAATCTGCGTGTTTATAGTATTCACTTTTTTTCCTCGCGATAGCTTTAGTATGCGCGGATTCACAACAGAAAGTGCTGTTAGGCAAAAGCGATATGAGGCTGACTTTAAAGAACTCGTTTCTGCGGAAAGGTGCAAGCATCGATTACGGCATCTAACTGAAGAGCCTCACCTTGCTGGGACCGAGAATAGTCGCAAGGTGGCGGAATACCTACGCACGGAATTTGAAAGTTACGGTTTGCAGGTTCAAGTATATGAATATCATGTCTATCTTCCGCATCCGCTTGAGGTGCATGTAGAACTTGTTTCACCGGGTCAACATCTCGCCGTTGGCAAAGAAGCAAGTTGGGAGTGGGATAAAGATTCTTATGAAACGGAGATAGTGCCGGGATACAACGCCTATTCGCCGGATGGAGATGTGACAGCGGAACTTATCTACGTCAATAGAGGGTTACCTGAAGATTACCAAATTCTTAGGGAACGCGGTATTTCGGTGGAAGGGAAAATCTGTATTGCCCGATATGGTGGGAGCTACCGCGGTGTGAAGGCGAAAGTTGCAGGCGATAATGGGGCTGTTGGGTTAATCTTGTATTCAGATCCTGCTGATGATGGATATATGCGTGGGGATGTCTACCCTCGGGGTCCATGGCGTTCGGAGGATGCAGTACAGCGTGGAACAGTGAAATATATCTTTCAGCACGCCAGTGATCCACTGACACCCGGCTGGGCAGCGACTAAAGATGCCGATAGACTCTCGATTGCTGAAGCCACAGATCTCCCGAAGATTCCTGTAGTTCCGCTTGCTTATCGAGATGCTAAACCGTTTCTAAAAGCACTCGCGGGACCGAATGTTCCTTCAGAATGGCAGGGTGGCTTGCCTTTTGCTTATCACATCGGACCGGGACCGGCGAAGGTTCGCATTAAGGTGCGTTGTGAACACAGCAACCGTCCGATTTACAATGTCATTGCGACGTTAGAGGGGACGGAATATCCAGACCAGTGGGTAATCTTAGGGAACCATCACGATGCTTGGGTTTACGGTGCGGCGGATCCGGGCAGCGGGACAACGGCACTATTAGAGATTGCGCAATGCTTGGGTGAACTCGCCGAGAAAGGCATGCGTCCGAAGCGGACAATCGTTTTCGCTGCATGGGATGCCGAAGAATTCGGTATTCTCGGTTCAACAGAATGGGTTGAGGATTTGAGATCGACCCTGCAGCAAAAAGCTATTGCGTATCTTAATGTCGATATTGCTGCGACCGGTGGACGCTTCTATGCGAGTGCAATCCCCTCGCTACGAGAATTGATTCGCGAAGTAACACGCACTGTCGTTGACCCGGGAACGCTGAAACCGGTTTACGAGAGTTGGAAAGTAGCACAGGACAAGGAGATACCGCAGGTCGGTAATCTCGGAAGCGGTTCGGATCATTCGCCATTTGTTGGGCATGCGGGTATCCCCGCAGTCAGTATGGGCTTCAGTGGTGCTTACGGGGTCTACCATGCTATGCAAGATAATTTTTACTGGATGGAACATTTCGGTGATCCGACATTTCAGTATCAAGCGGCGATGTCGCGGATCTGGGGGGCCCTTGCTTTACAACTTGCCAACGCTGATATTTTGCCCTTTGACTATGAGACTTACGCGACGGACCTGATGACGCCGCTGAAACTGTTGCAAAATTCCGGTTCAGAAAACAAAATTGCTAAGGGAGTTAAGGCGTTAGACGATCTACTCACGGAATGGCAACAAGTGGCAGGTTTGCTGAACCAAGGGCTTGTGCGTTATCTTGCTTCCGACGATCTGTCTCGGATTGCGGAAATAAACCAGCAGTTGTATCAGTTGGAGCGAAATTTGATAAGTGAGGCGGGTTTACCACTGCGTCCGTGGTTCAAGCATCTTATCTATGCACCGGGGCTTAATACAGGTTATGCAGCGGTCGTTTTCCCTGGGGTCTTAGATGCCATAGTGCAAGGAGATGATGCCGCGGTACATGCCGAAATTAATAAGTTGGTTGCAGCATTTACACGGATGATTCAACAGATTAATGAAATCCGAGAAATGCTATAATCAACCATCAGTTGTCAGCAGTCGGCAATCAGCAAGAGTCGCGACTGGGAAAGAGACCTTGATCGGAAAATCGCAATTACGGAAGAACTGAATGGCTCTGAAAGTCTACAGATATAGGACTTACGCAGCTTTCTTTGATGGCAAGACTTCAAACCGGTACTGGGAAGGGGCAGTGGCGTGTGGTAGTAACTACTCGTAAGAAATTTGTGTCAGTCCTGATATATTTAGGACTTACGCATCAAAACGCTGTTCGGACGGGTCCCTGTGCCCGTCCGAACTTGAACACGCAGGGCACGAAAGCCGAAGCCATCCTGCGGAACATAACGGACGAACGCTATTGCGTAAGTCCTGATATTTATACTTCACCATCGTTTGAGGGTGTGACTGCTACGGCTGATATCGCTTTCAACATAACGATATCGCCAACTTGAAAGGGACAGTTGTAATCGGTCTGGACGATGTAGTCTTGTCCGTCTATTTCAACGCGATAGGTGAACTCGTGTCCTTTAAACGCCTGCCCCACGACCCGTCCGCTTTTTGCCCCACTGCCCCAAACATCGGATGCCATCATCTTTAGGTACTCGGGTCGAATAGAGAGAAGCACATCACCAGCGGCTTCACCGTCCACCTTTACGCGTCCGAACTGGGTTTGAGCGATACCGTTTTTCACGTGTGCGTGAATGAAGTTCGTCTGCCCCAGAAAGTCAGCGACGTAAGTTGTTTTCGGATAACGATACACCGCTTCAGGCGTGCCGATCTGTTCAAGGGATCCGTCTTTCATCACTCCCAACCGTTCAGCGAAACTTAATGCTTCCTCTTGTGCGTGTGTGACGAGTATAGCACTGATGCCTTCGGCTTTCAGGAGTGCTCGGACTTCTTCACGGGTTGTCTGTCTTAACCCTGGGTCAAGGCTTGAGAAGGGTTCGTCTAAAAGGAGGAGTTTGGGACGTGCGATAATCGCGCGTGCAAGTGCAACGCGCTGCTGTTCACCGCCAGAGAGATGGTGTGGTAGACGCGTCTGTAGTCCCGTCAAATCGACCAGACGAAGTACGTCTAATGCTCTCTCACGCCTCGCTCTTTTAGATGCTTTTCGGAGACCGAAGGCGACGTTCTCAAGGACATTTTTATGTGGGAAGAGTGCATAGTCTTGAAATACAAACCCGATGCCACGCGATTCGGGTGGAAGATGTACCGCGCTGCTCGCCAGGATCCGTTTCTCCATAGCGATTGTGCCAGCGTCTGCCTTCTCAAAACCCGCGATAAGACGCAAGGTGGTGGTTTTTCCACAACCACTTGGGCCCAAAAGAGCGAAGATTTCGCCCGGGTATACGCTGAAGCTAATGCTTTTAACTATTGGGGGTTGGTTAGTTACGAACCCCTTTGTAATTGCGTTTACCGTGAGTAATTGTGTCGGCATTAGGTTTCTGTCTCATCTTGACTGTTGATCGCTCTGATTTTGTCCCTTTATCATAATTATATAATGTGTTTTCCGTTTTGTCAAATTAGGAGTTGTCGGTTCCTAAAGCGTGTGTCCCGCGCCAGACGATGGCATGTAGAGGTGCAAAGCGAAGCTGATGAGACTCAGGATACTGCGCGGGATGTAATCGCCTAAAACGAGTCCGAGGAAAAAGGGGATCGCTTTACGATACGTCTGCCACCCGGAAAAGCGCAGGATAAGAAACTTGATGAACCAAACTCACCATCACAGGGAACCAGAAATAGATGAGTCCGCCCCACGATGCGCCTGAAAGCACATAACCCGATGGGTGAAGTGTCCACCACAGCAGTCGGGTCCGCAAAAAATTAAGGAGAAACACAAAAGCGAAGCCTCCAGACATAAAGGCAACCGCGCTGATATCTGGTTCTTTCGGATGCTGCAGCCAACTCTGAAGCGGGTTGAAACTCTCCCATCCGAATCGCCCGACAGCGCCTTGGCATTGTGCAAGTACGCCGTAATGATACGCCACCTGTAAATAGGTCCAGAACGTTGCGAGCGCACCGACAGCGATGGCGAGTGCCATTCCTAAAAGCAATGTTTTGCCGGGCATCCTGGAGCGTTCGCCGATCCGTAGGGATTCAATCTGATTCGGCATCGGGTGTGAACGGTTGCAACGGTTAAAAGCGTAGAGGAAGGTCATCACTGTGAGATTCGCGCCACCTAATTGCCGCGTTCCGAACATGCTCACCATCATTTGCCGTGGGTTGATACCGATGACTTCGTGGTAAGGTGGACCAAGTTCGGCACGCACACGTCCTATGGCGATAGCGAACGCGATAAACAGTGCATAAAACACGCAGATTGCCCAGAGCGACATGCCCGCCGCGTAGCAGAATCCAAAGACGAGCCCGACACTCAGCACTGTTAGAATAGCCACTGTCCGGTAGGAGAACGGTTCTCTGCTATCGTCTCCCCGTTCGCGCCCGATTACATGTTGGAAGAAGCGAGCGAAGTGCCGTCGACTCATCCAGAGCGTTAACACGGCGATACCGACCCAAGCCCCCGAAGCTCGGTCGTTGAGATGCAGGGCGCTGATATTAGTGACACCGACTGCACTCGCGATGACGCGTTCGGCGCGAGTGAGCCAAAAGAAAAACCATGTTGAGAATGCGAGGTCAAGCGGCATAAAATAGGTTAATCCAACAATCGCGAGATTAAAGGACATAGAGGCGTGACCGATTGCGTTCCAAGGGCGTTCTGTGAAGTGCCGATCGAGTCGGTAGTTCGGTGGCAGGGCAGGAATGACGGGAAAGATGTCGTGCAGCCCAGCCATCACGCGAAGCAGGGCTGCGATCCCAAATCCGAACCAGAGGGCACGGGATCGGAAAAAATTGCGATTGGTTGTCATCTGCAACGGCAGTTGTGTTAGCGGGAAACTTAGTTTTTCACGTTCCATCCACTGCTTGCGGAGTAGCAGCCCTAAACAGAGCAGTGAACCGTAGAGTAGAAAAATAAAGCTTGACCAGAGGAGTGCGGGTTTTATCCAGATGCGGAGGTGTTCTGCCCAGTAGATGCTGGATTCGCCTTCATAATAACCTGCTAAAAACTCGAATTCGTGTACTGTGAGCCATGGCGGAATATGATGTAGGAAGAGTTGTGCCCATTCGTTTTCTGGGCTTGCGAACCAGAAGGGATGCGCGAGTGTTCCCATTAGAATCGCCATCATTGCATGTCCTGAGATCGTGGACACCATTGTCACCATTATATAGATGAGTAGCAATTCGGCAGCGGTGAACGCAATACGGGGTGAGAGTTTACGGAGCAGGACGTTGAACGCGATGAGCACAACCAACGTAAAAACAGCGTTGGAGAATGGGGATACCAGTGTGTAGACTGCATACCAGAGTTCGCTGGCGATTCCGACCCAATAAGCGTTAACGACAACTAAGATTAATCCGACAATTAATGCTTTTTTCGTGATGACATCGGGTGGGTTTGCGGTTCTGGAATTCATGTGTTGTATTCAAGTAACGAGACACTGTTGATCGGCGCGCTTACCTGCAGGTTAAAAAAATATTCGGTAATTCTGTAAAAGACGATTGTCAATCACAGACAGAAACTATAATCCTGAAAATCCTGATTCTGACAATTAACATCGCACATTACCGAATTAAATTCTTAATCTTCATCAAAGCGCGCCAACCAGCAGATACCTATCTATTTTTGTATGTCACTATAGCTATTCCTCAGTCGTTGTTTCGGGTTCCACAGGTGTATTGGCATGTGTCGTTGAAGGCGGTTCCGTCTCTTCTGGTGGGTTAAGATACTTTTCAACTTCATTGTTATTAATGATACGAATTGCCTCTTGCAATTGTTGATCGTATGCCAGATTGACTATCTGTTTGATACCGACATGGGAGTTAAAGAGCCGCTCGGCGCGCTGTCTCAACCACTTTAGACTGACGTGGATGCGTGCTTCTTCAAGCGTTTGCTGTAGTTTCGGGAGTTCAGTTTCAAGCAGTGAGAAATCTTTCGGCATTTCACCGGGACCCGTGTAGTTATCATCAATCCATTTTGTGACGAAATCGCTGAGTATATCGCTCGCGTCCATCTTTCTCCGCATGATACCTTCAATTTCATCGGGTGTCTCATCGGTAACAGGGACTTGCGGAGTGATGCCTACTTCGTTAATTGAAGTGCCGTTTGGTGTATAATAGGCGGAGATCGTGAGCGACATTGAGGCACCGTCTAACAGTTCGTAACGTTTTTGGACGACCCCTTTGCCATAAGTTTTTTGCCCAACGAGTATACCGCGGCGCGTATCCTTAATCGCACCTGCGACGATTTCGGAGGCACTCGCGCTGGATTCATTGACGAGGACAACGAGCGGGATGTCTGATGGACAGAGGGGATCAGATGTCGCCCGGTATGCTTCATCAAATTCACTTTTCCTCCCTTTTGTTGAGACAATAATGCCTTCATCAATAAAAGCGTCGGCAATGTGGTACGCAGCGTTCAGCAAACCGCCCTGATTGTCTCGTAAGTCCAAGATAAGTGCCTTCATACCAGCGGATTTATGTGCGTTAAGGGCTTTGTTGAATTCGTCTTCCGTGCCTTCTGTCCGTCTGCTGCCGATAAAACCTTTGATTTGGATATAACCGATGTTTCCCTCAAGCATCGTTGACGTGACACTGTTGATCGGAATTTTACCGCGTGTCAACGTTACATCAAAAGGGTCAATGAATTTGCGTTGGACTGTGATTGTCACATCGGTGTCGAGTTTGCCCCTAAGTAAATCGACGACATCGTCCAATGTCATCCCAGTTTTTTCGCTAAGGTGAATTCGCTGACCATTAACTTTAGTAATGTAGTCTCCGGCTTGGAGATTAGCACGTGCGGCGGGAGTATTAGGTATTGGCTTAGAAATTTTGATGAATCCTCGATGATCAGGGTAAATCTGGATACCAAGTCCTCCAAATTCTGCGTTGTAAAGATTTTCGACAGCACGCTGATGCTCGCGCTCCGGGACATAATACGTGTAGAAATCTTTCAGTGATGCCAGTGCGCCTTTAATCGCGCCACGGTACATCTGATTCGGATCTTCTATCGGTTTATAGCTATTTGCTTGGGCAATTTGGATAACTTGATCCAACGTAGCGATTAACGTCGCTTGCGTGACGCGTTCATCTCCACTTACCGCATTTTTTTCACTGGGATTAATGAGCAAGAACGGGATGCCGATAGCGAGGACTAAGACAATGAAGGACAAAGTGTATCTTCTCATGAGATTTCCTCTATGTTTTAGGATTTGGTTAATGTTCTTCTCTATTTTAACATGGATCCAACATTCCTGCAATAGATTTTTTATCAGCAGTCAGTCTTCTGTTGTCAGTCCGAATGCGGTTGTGTCTTCCAGCGATTGTGAAGCCATAGCCACTGCTCTGGGTATTTATGGATATAGGTCTCCAACTGTTCCAGCATTTGTGTCGTGTATAATTCGACATCTTGCTCAAAATCGTCGGACGGTTCGGTGTGGATAGGAGATGAAATATAGACGTGGTGCCGGTCGTCGGGTTGGCGTATGTCGAGTGAAAAGAGGAGCGGTGCGCCAGTCTTGAGGGCAAATACAGCGGGACCGCGAACTGCGGAAGCCGGTTTTCCGAGAAATTCGACGAATACGCCTTCTGGACCGGCGTTCTGATCGGCGAAGAACCCGACCGCTTGGTTGTTTTTAAGGGCGCGCAACGTTTCGCGGACTGCCTGTTTCTGGGGAATTAACTCCAGACTCATCTGCTCGCGGTGTTGCCGGATGTAAGCATTGAGTAGATCATTTTTCAGAGGGAAAGCGATGGCTTTCGCACGGTCTGGAATCAACGCACCATATACCAGCGATAGGAGTTCCCAATTTCCGAAATGTGCGAGAAACACGATCGCGCCTTTGCCGCCTTCTAAAGCGACATGGAGATTTTCTCTGCCTTCTACAGTGACTTCGTTCCAAATATTTTCAGCGTTGAGTTTGGGAAATCGGAGGAATTCAATACAGGTTTTGCCGACGTTGATGAAACTCGCCTTACAGATTTCTGTGCGCTGCGATGCCGTGAAATGGTCGCCGAATGTAATCTGTAAATTGTTCAAGGCAATCTCCCGCCGTTTTTTGACGAGATAATAATAGAGAAGCCCTATGCTGCGCCCGAGTTGGATTGCCCAGCTTTTCGGAAGCCAGCGGCACCACCACCCGAAGACCGCCACTATCCCGGATATACATCTATCTTTCCATTTACTAC